CCCCCCGCCTCACTACCCAACAATAATCGATAATCCTTCTCTTTGTTGTCTTCGTCGTGATTCATTCCCATTGATATTGCTCCTCCTTAATTTTATCTATATTTATTTATTAACATCAATATGTATATACGCCAAAATACCGATTTGTTAATTATTACTGTATTTTATTGATTGGATAAATTAAACTTTTTATTTCCGGTATTTCTGGATTCTTTCGTAAGTTTGAACCGTCATTACCCGTAATTCCTTTACATGCATGTAGGAATCAAGGGACCACCAGACCAATACTTAATTTAGTCACGGGCACGATTACACAGGGTGGGAAAAAGAAAGCAAAAAAGGTTCGATAAGAAAAATAATAAAAGAGTACAATGCACATGATATTGATTCACAGGATATGACAGCCTCTCAAAGAGTCGCATCCTGTGCGAGTAAGGCTCACGCGGGAGATGTAGTCTGTCGGGTGTCATGGCGGCGAAATCTTAACGGATCTAATCGTCAGCATCCTCAAGTACTCGCCCAAAGTTCTTTGGGTCCTTTCACTAACTTTAACATGACGAACTCATCGAGCAACGTCCAGAGGATCACAGAAAGTAAGCTCTGTTAATTCCATCGTGATCCACGTGATATACTAATGAAATATATTAGACCCGGTCGCACCGATAGTCGCATAGACGGTGAAAACTTGATGTTTCACACGATAGAGTTGTGTATTTAACTCAATAGGTATTCTTAGTCGTAATTGTATTCGTGAAGGAACAACAGGTTGACAAGTATTTTTCAGATTGTTCATTTTCTTTTCAGAGTCTACTAAGGATTGCCTGACTTAATTGTAAATCGGTTATAACGACGTGCAATTAGGCTTTACTAAGGATCAGTCTTATACTGGATATTAGAAAATCTTATTTAACGAAAATACGACGCATCCATTTACTCGCGTACCTACGTGTTAACGATCAATTTATTAATTCGACGATACAACTCGATCGGATCGATCGATTTGATCGAATTTCATGATTTATATAGTATAGTATCGTTTTAGTGACTGTTTTCCTATTGTATGGATCGCAAAATATCTTAATGTTACGATATCAGTATTTACGACTCAATTACGTCGTATCGTTTTATTAAGCAATCGTTATGCGATATAATGTATGAAGTGTATCCAGAAGAAAATAGAGATTATGATAATTCGTTTGTAAGTATCTATAGGCGCGTCTTCTGCGGCGAAACGATTGTGCGTCTGTTCGTGGCACGGGTCTGAATATTTTCGGAGAGATTGATGATCGTCGCACAACATTTATAGAGGTGAGATTGTCAATTCTTTTATGGTTATTTTTATATTTAATCATAAGGAAATATATATATATATATATATAGCTAATAAATGAATATCTTGGACACTCGCTGCTAGTGCATTGAAATTTCATTGCAGCGAGTGTACAAAGAGATTCTTTAAGTAAATATGCATGAAAAAGTTTCATCAATTCCAAAATTGTACCCGAGCTCGGGTTTGCCTTTATGGTTGAAATTTATGGAAATTCTATATCAGCCCAAAGGTCACGAGTTGCTGAAGTTCGTCGACTCTTCATTAAGTGTATTTTGAAAAATTAATTTAAAAACTTATAATTTTTGGACAGAATTTGATTATACTAGGACAGCATAATTATTAATAGTACTCGATCGTATCATTGCCTTAATTATTGTTGCATTAATAATATACTTCTTTTTATGGAAGATGACATAGTCCATTTCGTGTATCGATAATCGATTGTCGAAAATATTTTAAAAATTAACTTTTCGCAGATGTATTTAAGAGACTACCAAGTACTCCAGTTAAATATTCATTGTATTGTATATTGCTTAGTTTCGATGAAAAAAAAAAATTAATAAGATCCACGTGTTCGAACAAGCCAACCAGAAAAATTTTCGTAGGTGGAGCGGCTTCCCACTCGATAATCAATATACCGTGTGTAACTTACAAAAGGATTACAAGGGAAGTATAACGAGCTAAAGAACACGTTCTGAAGGAGCTTCTTATGATCGATATATCTGATGGCTGTGTAGGATATACTGTTGTATACTTTGAAATTAGCATGGAAGTAGATGCGCTCGATATTTGATTCAGAGACGAATCTAACGCTATTTAGAATTCTAGTTTCAATTCTAATTTCCTCCCTTGCGAATAAAGATTATTCCCTTATAATAATCCTTATTCAAAGTATTGAAAATAGCGGCAAGCCACTGAGGCAGCACAAATTATTGTACTAATGATTGTATGTATTGTCGTGGTATAACATGTGTATGTATATGTATCCTTTAAGTTATTCGAGAGACGACTGTGTTCAATAACTCAAAAGTCCCTGAATTTTGTAAAAAAAATTTTCATGAAAAACAAAACTAGCTAGCGTAATTTCTTGTGAATTTTCGAAATCATTCATCACCATTCCATATCCATTAAAATCAATTTAACAGGTGATCCCTAATACAGGAATAGCCGTACGATCTAATGAAATAACATACACATTACTCTTCATCACGTTAACGAACCCAAGAACAAAACTGTCACCCGTTACATACGCTTCGTTCATCATTAAAAAGCGCGGGATCAAATTGCCCTAATCTATTCTCAAGCCAGCATGTGATGATGGATTAAATAATTTCACAGTACATCCAGATAGGAAAAGTATGTTTCTCATAATAAATAACAGTGAATGAATATTTGATATCAAAAAATTTACTACGCAATTAAATCCTGGCGTTTCTTTTCTTTTTGAATATAAAAAAAAAACAGATTTTTGATCTTTTCTTTTTTCAAAAAAATATTTTTCACGACTCAAAAAGTATCACCACTATTTATATACATATATATTTCATATGCTTAATCCTTTGCACTCCGAACCTGTTCTGGACGTTAGCCACTAGCTACTCAGCGCCACTTTGTGGAAATTTCAGAAAAACATGCATTTCTCAAAAAGTTGTGCTGGAATAATAATATTTAGGAATGGCTGGAATAATGGTAATAATATTAGTAATCACTAATAAACTTTAATGTCCCCCGAGAGGGTACAGCGGAGTGCAAAGGGTTAATCCCATACCTCCGATACGGTCGAATCGCGTTATAAGACCCGCCCGCTGTAAGGCCACTTTCCCCTTATCAAAGCCCGAGCGTTCCCGTATTATACTGGCTCGGAGACAAACGAGATAGAAATCAGCGAAAGCGCGTAAAATAATAAACACGGATGCAGCATAAATAAACGTATCGGGAGAAAAGACGTCACCACACCGAAATACCGGAGAATACACAAGTTTTGCTTGAAACGGTGGGGGAGCCCGGTTTCTCAGAATTTAATTTCCCTACAGCCCCGTGAACGATTCTTATAACGCGAATCAGCTACATGCACGTACAATCCATATAATAAATTCCCAAGCCGTGTCACGAGTCTGCCCTATAGGAGACATAAACGTGACCCTGGCCGAGTAATCGTAAAACAGGAAGAAGAAGATCGAAAGAACAGTTGTGACGCGTCTCGAAATTGTTCGTCTCTTCCATTCCAGTAGATCGGTTAGGCGTGCTGTTGTGAACGCCCCGTAAAGGACTTTAGAGTCCGTGGGCGCCGTATAAAACTGCGTCCAAGCGGTTTCCGCGGTCCAGTGTTGATGCTGGCCGTCTCTCTGTCTCGGTGTCTTATCGTCTAGTGCATCTTAGTATATATACATTTATAGCAGGACAGTCAATCGAAAACTCGGGTATATTTGAGTAACCAGTGTTTCGCATTAGGTTACACATATGCTGTGCTTTAAACGGTGACTTGTGCACTGTTACCGTTATATATACGCTAATGCTGTATGTAAGAGTTTATACCTAAGCGACCAGTCATTCGAAAAAGCTACAAGATGCGCTCCGATGGGGTCGTGGCGTTGGTCGTCTTCTTCGCGGCGATGGCCACGTTCTCCGTGATGGCTGTTACGCCCGACGAAGGTACGCCTGATCTCTCCTAATACGGAGCAGCTTTTCTTAATAACCGATCCGTGTGTTGTCTCTCTATTTATCCCTAGGGGAATTCTTCACTCATATACGTACTATGTGTGTTCCTTTCAGAAATTAGTAACTAGATTCACTGTTAGTACGCTGTAGATTCGTATGAATTTAAAAGATTACGCATATTGTACGAAAAATATCTTATAGGTTACCGAAAAGACGAATGTGGATCGCTTTTATCAATATTTATATATGGCAAACAATCTGTTCGTAATTTCGAAAAAAAAAAAAAAACTTTCACCTATATGTTATATTTAACTAAGAGAATACAAGGTGCGAGTTGTTATACTATGGTTTCTCTTTTATCATAAAATATTCCATTGTCTTCTTATCTTCGAATTCTTTGAATTCTGGTTCAACTTTTCTTACGGTATTAAGCATTCCTATTGAATTCCAATGCTTCCCTTCAGTCCCTCGCGAATCTAGGTTACTTTTCATCCTTGAGTGACAGAACCTCTGGATACTGCTAAAGTCAGAAAGTATTTGCGAACAATGGAATTGAATAAGGAAGGATGCTACAGGGGCGACTGTTTTACAATAAAGATTTATTACCTTTGAAGATATTATCTCAAGACAGTTACAGTGTCAATGTAAATAAGCATATTTATTATCATTTGATATCGATCTATCGATTATAAGTAATGCAACGTCTCTACGATTTTTCAATTAATTATTTAAGCAAATACTCGACGCTACTCGATCTTATTTATTTATGTCTTATCAGTCGATCGATAATCTTCAAGTACAGATTTAATACTGAAATCAATTATTTGCACGTGTTCTCTCGTTTCTCAAACCAGTCCTGTAACAAAGCAAGAAACCCGGTAGTAGCAGCCGCTGGTACTCCAGGGTCAGTCAACTCGAATACTCCGTATTGTTTTACTAAATTCCCCTAGGGGTGGAGTATATGAAAATAAATAAGTGAAAAAGCTCAGTAGTACTTTTCACGTGATTGAAAATGACTGAACCAAAAGTTTAAAGGATTATTTAATATCGTGACTAATTAGAGTATACATCAATTAAAAACTAAATATATATAACTGTAACCATAATCGTTCTATGAAAATCTTAATTTACAAGAATTTAATATTTCCTCGTTAAAAATTTCCGGAAATCTCATTTATACGACGATGTTATTAAACTTAATGCATTACGAGGGGCCACAAGGGGTTATCGCGTCTAACTTAAGATCAGTACTGTTGCTTTAAATAAATTGCTTAAATAATGTCGAACAATAATTCCATCACGAAGGAAATGCGTATTTATTGATTGGGGACAATCGTTCTGAGTCAATTGCTACGAATTGATCTCAATTGTCTTTTAACTCGATTTACCTCGAACTGTACCTTCGTTTACACTAGCCACTTGCCTAATCTTTTTTTTTTACGCACGACATACGATATCCTAATAACAGTCAACACAAAAAGGTAATATCGCTTGTACCGTGATACATTCGACACGTGGAATCTTATAACGTTTGACAAATGTGGAGAAAAAAACAATAGATTGTTATTTTCAAAAAACCCTACTTTCTCGTAACGCTCTAAATCAATATTTATAACATAAGTTCGGTCAACTGTACATTCTATGGAGTTAATAATAAAAAAATTTATTTTTAATGAAAAATCATAATCGAGCACGTGACCTTCCATACAATACATCGATGTATTTCATTTGGATTAACGGGCTGCACAAGATTCAGGATTTTTTTCACGATTACCATTACATATACATATATATTATATGGATTTTACGCGTTCGGCCATTACCGAGTTTTTATTGGAGCTCATGGTTTTCAGGTAAAATATCACAGCTCGTTTTCGCGATAATGAAACTTCACGATATTTGTATCGCTGAAAATAAAGATAATCTGTTCATGGTTGTAGCAATTCGGTGTAGGAGTAATTTACGGCCCTGTAAATAATTTAAATCGTTTCCCGACGTGTTTCTCCTGAATGTGATATTTGTTGTTCCACAATTTAACCCTTAAAAATATATATGTATATAATACACATATAAACATTGACTTTACGTTAGTTTCACACTGTACACATTTACAAAACCCCGAGGATAAAGAATGGGCGGTGAAAATAATAGAAACGTGGGTAGTCATTTTCGTTCGTATTTTATTTTTGAAATTTAAAAAAAAAAAGGTATAATATTATTAATTACTAAGATCATCTATTTATTTCGATACAGTGCAATTTTTTTACTTAAATCATTTACTTTGTTTTTTCATTATATTCAATCACTTTTAAACAAATTATTATACCTTTCTATTTCGATGCGCGTTTTAGAACTCATGTTCTTCTTAAGGAATTTGTTACGTGCTGAAGTCTTGAGCTAAGTTCATTAGCTAACATGACGTCATTCTATACTGTAGATAGGTTTACTGTGTAGCTTTTATTAATTGACACCTACAATCTAAGGAAATTGGACATTATGGTTTTAGAACCGGTTATGCAAAAGCCGTGACGAAAATTGGGTTTGTTTATTTCATTTAAGTAACAATTTAATTTCGTAGCCCATTAACTTAATTAGTAATGATAAAGATGATATATTTAAATAATCTAACTATGGCTCGTTATCTGGGATGGAGAAAAAAATAGTGAAAATAATATAATTATATATATATATATATACAGGTGAGTAATCCGTATACGAAACTCTTAGTCAGCATCGTTTGAGCCGAGTGTACATAAAAGCAATGAATTTAATGAAAACGCAATTAATTTAAAACATATGTGATTGCGTAACTTTGAAAATTTTATGAAATCAAATATTTGAAAAAAATATATATGTTCCAGAAAAATTCATGGTTCATCCTGTCCGTTGTAGTATCGAAGAGATGAAAATTAAAAAAAATATATTTCTTGCATTATATTATCATTATTATTATTATACAGGAGAAATAGCGTATTGTAAATAATGTATTGTATACAGCAGCTTAATATATTGTAGCGTAATATATTTTTGCCGTCAATTCTCACAGAATTAATTCAATAATTGTTGATTTTACTCTTCGAAATAAAAATTGGACTTTATTTCTAGGTTTATCAAAGAGTCTTAAAGAAGCGCTGAACGAAGACGAATTTGCGATTGTGGTAAAACACGTGAAGCCCAGAAAAAAACAAACCGATCGACTGGAAACGCTTCTGAGGGCAGACTTTTCAAAAACAAAGGAACAGTTTGTTTTAAAACTCGACAGACTCGAAAAACGAAGTAAGTACGAATTATTAATTAATTAATCAAACTTTCGCGTGGGACTATCTAGTGGGGAAAGCATGCTGCTTGCTTAGACAATAATTAATTAGTTGAACGAAACGTTTGTATTTCTACGTTCTGTATGAACGATGGTTTTTAAGCGCGTAAAATACAATCGCGAAACATCACCTTGTTTGCAACAAAGGCGTGCAACACTAAAATATTATTGAATATTTAAAAGATAAGTACTTTTGTTCAATATTGTCACTCGAAATGCACAATAATCCAACGGATATCATATTACATGTATATATACGTATACACGTGATAGATGTCTCTGTTTATCTTTTTTTTCATATAAAGTATATCTGCATGTGAAATAAGTGACATTAAGGATACAGGAATCATAAATTACTGTTTTGTCTTGGCATGTTAAAATAGTTCAAAAAGAAAAATATTTTTTGTGTTGACATCTGACCATTCGAAGACCTTTCGCTTAATCTCACGCGATAATCATGGGTATAAATGACTTTTATAATATTCATGCTTCAGTAAGCATTATTATATAATGTTTGTATACCGATGATGCACTGGATAATATTCTCTACATATAACAATTCTACACCTGACAATGTGTGTCAAGGAGTGCCGTGCTAAATCATATAGAAATATACTCATATCAGTATTATAAAGTGCAATATAAAAACTATATTGGAGAAGCAAATGTGACAGAATAAGTTGAAGATTAATCGGGAATATAAAAAATTTAACGTAACATTATCAATATTTCATTAAAACGGAAATATAATACTTATTTAAACCTGCGTTTGACTATGGTTTATAAGCTTGACGTAAATTCCCTAGAAAGTAACTAGTAATTTAAATAGGTAGCGGAGACTGGTGTTTGTTGAAACACACACGAATTATATTTCAATGAATGTTACGATGAATCTTATAGAATTTTTTTGTGAAATTTTGGTCACTTTTTTTCGGCTCAACAACAATACGGTTCATTAGGCAATTATAATTTATTCACTACCAATAGATGACATATTAAACGGTTTTATTTCATTCGACACCGGTCTCCCGTACTAATTGTAAGCAACAGCTGTTCTAATGCTATGTGTGTTTATACACATATATCATTAAACGACTTAGCTAGTATTAATTTGAGTGAATTCAGACACAGTTTAAAAAATTATACTTTACGTATTTAAATAACCTGTATCTACTCACCTTGCAGTTATATTGGAAACCACGGAAAATGGTCATACGCATTTTGACACTTTTCTGGTTGAAAGCCTGGACGAGTCGACGCCAATTAAAAATTTGATTCTCCACGTACGTCAAGAGCCACGTCACTCACTAGTCGATCTATATGTGGACTGTGTGTACCAGGGTGAAATCCGTACAAAGAGGAGTTTCCACAAAATAACCGAAGACGCCGCGACATTACATCTGGAAGTGGTGAGTTTCGGCCATGTTTGTTAGCACGAAGTTTCTCGCGAGATTCTCTTTTGAATCTTGCACCATGCTTCGCGAATAAATTTACTAACCAGATTGCACACAATTCACTTGGAAAGAGTCGTGAATTTATGATGAAGGATCACTCAGGTTGTGACTTGGACGTCAAAAAGAATGATTGGTCGTTTGACTTGAAAGAGAAGCCCCATACATTCTTTTCTTACGAGAAAGGACTGCGAACCGATAAAAATTCAAAATCGTCACTCAATTCCTGTCATTTTCCGTCGGAGAAAAAATAATCTGAGAATCCACAGACACATTCAGATATATTACTTTATAAATTATATTTCCCTTCTCGAATATGCGAATCGAGAGATCGATATGCACTCACAAACTAGTAAAGTGCATTATCTTGCTTCGATTATCGACTCTTGTTAAAGGTAAGTATTACTCTGATATATAAACTTGAGCAACGCACTATAGTTGTGGGCTGATTGTTTCGCGCCTTGCCACCTAGCGGACCTACATAATTCACAATTGGTTAAGTCTGGCAAAATTGATATTAATTATAGTTAGTAGTACGAACATAATCTGATTTCATGTTGCATATATTTTATTAACGTTTATAGCAGATTCATTGTAATTTCGCAAAGTGCAAAAAATTTCAAATAACCCACCGACGTCCCAGAATTGCTATAAATAGAAAGTTCTCTGCCAATGGCTTATTCTAACGGCGCCGACATTTTTCCTGCTTGTCGTACATAGATTGCGACTTGAGAGAGCGTAGCTTTTTCTAACATTGCAAGTATCTCAGCGAAGTCGCAGGTTTAGTCAGTCTCATCGTGTGGGATAAGTATTACGTAAAGGTAACGGCAAGCATATATATATATATATATATATCACACTACATATATACTAAGCATAAACATGCATCAGGATTCGTAGCGAATCCTAATGCGGTCCATTACAACCGATGCTGATACCTACGTGAAATTCCACGTAAGCTATCCTGGTCCATTGACAATACTTTTCTCGCTGTATTCTCACTCACCTATGGATAATATCTCCATTTGATTAAACAGATAAGAAAATGGATGTTTCACCATACTTATTCCATAAGAACGTATATATCACTATGATAATCTATGCCAACGTGGTATATTTCTATTTTCTTTTTTCTCACGAACGGTACGATTTTATTTATACACACCGTCGCCCAGTGCATATCGTGGGACGACGTCTTTCCAAATATGGCTGGCAAAACCTACGCCATTCGCATTTAACATGTCTATACTTGCCCAACCTGTTACCCAGTGTCTCTAGTGCTTTGATTTGATACATTACATTGATTTCTTAAATTTTGTAACGATCCACTTCCTGTCGCTTTCTCTTGCCCCATTTTTTGCCGAAAATTTTCGGGAGGAACTTCGATGAAAATTTTATTATGCACTTAGGACTGAATCCCTGTAAGGACCATTTTTAATTATTGAAATTTTTGAATGTTTCAGTACAAAGAAAGAAAGTATCACACGAAGATATATAAGACGTCGGGAATAGACGCCATTTTACGGCAAGAGAATTGCCCTTTGGACCTTTTGGATTTCGACGAAATGCAAGCCTTTCAGCCGTCACTGTCAAATAATAATGAAATATCGAGACGCGGTGACATGGGAATATTACACGATCTGGATGATCAAAGTATTGAGTCTTGTTTAAATTTGACTTTTACATTTAGATATGATTCCTGTTATATAATTGTTATTTGTAGTTTGCTTAACGGAAATCATCAAGAATACAATCAATGAATTGATAGCAGCTATTCGAAATTTGCAGAATGAAGTTAAATCAAATGTGAGTATATTAACTTTGATAATTTGAGCGTGCATAAATTTAAAGTCAATTTAGAGTTAAGTCTCATTAAATATGTCAAATGCTTTTGAATGAACCAACTTTTTCAATATTAACATTCGTCACTGCGGTTATCTCTTCCGCGCCTTCCTGTATTCTTGTTCGTCGTGATACAGGCATTTAACAGAATGAAATAATTAAATATACCGACTTCACTTTTTATTTTTAGAGATTGGAAACGCAACATCTTCGACAGCTCATTGAGAATTGTGTCGCATGCAAGCCAGGTACGAAATTAAAAAAACAAATAAACAAAGGAAATGCCAAATCCTTCATGTATTATTTTAAATAATAGTGAGTAATAAACGAAGTCTTCTTAATACACCTATATTCTAGCACTCCGATGCGACTATTCCTCGATGAATGAGAATCTATGCAAATTTGAGCTCATTTTACATATGAAAATACTGTAGGTAGAAACGTTGCTTGTCCTTAGACTATAATCGCCTGGCGTTTGTTTACAGGGAACGAACCACCACAGATCTCATGCACGGTTAACTCACCATGCTATCCTGGAGCTCAATGTCGTGACACCTCACGTGGTCCGGAATGTGGCTTATGTCCACGTGGCTTAGTAGGAGATGGACGCACCTGCAGACCAGGTATCACCTGCGCAGATCAACCCTGTTTTCGAGCAGAAATGTGTCACGATACCTATAACGGATATAGGTATACCATATAGCTATCATAATTCCCTGCACTCTTGTCTTGTCAAAATTAAATAAAAATAATTCTGTATCATCAACAGATGTGATCCGTGTCCCGAGGGATACGTCGGTAACGGGGAGACGTGTACCATGCGCCCAAATGGATGTGAATCCAATCCTTGCTATCCGGCAGCAGAGTGTATACCTACGAATAATTACCCCTTTTACGAATGTGGTCCATGCAGCGAAGGTTATACCAAAAATGGAACCACCTGTCAAGATATAAATGAATGTGAGGTAGCAAGACCATGCGATCATCGAGTACGTTGTATGAATTTGGTACCTGGATACAGATGCGATGCTTGTCCAGTTGGGTTTACCGGAAATAGGGTCCAGGGTATCGGACTAGCTGAAGCCAGAAGATATCGACAAACTTGTATCGACATCGATGAATGTGCAGACGGTAGAAATGGTGGTTGCGTACCGAACTCGGACTGCATCAATACCGAAGTAAATTTCAAACGGAAGATTAAAAAAAAAATATGTCGTATTATCAAAATCTCTAATAAATTTTTTTACAGGGTTCTTATACATGCGGTCCGTGTAAAAGAGGTTTCGTGGGAAATCAGGAATCTGGATGCATAGCCGATAAAGATCTGTGCCCTGATGGTATAACATCATGCGATGAACATGCAGATTGCATCGATACTGGATGCAATCAGTATTCGTGCAAGGTATATATATCTAATTGATTTAAATTAAATGCAAGTGAAAATAATATAGAATTTTCTGTTTTAATGGTAATTTTGTTCTGGAATCTAGTGTCAATCCGGATGGGCGGGCGATGGCATTATTTGCGGACTAGACTCTGACATCGATGGATATCCTGATTTAGACTTGTATTGCGATGACCGTCATTGTCGTGCTGATAACTGCAAGATTATTCCAAATAGTGGTCAAGAGGATGCCGATGAAGACCGCATAGGAGACGCTTGTGACGATGATGCCGACAACGATGGCGTTTTAAACGAAGCTGACAATTGTCCGTTGAAATATAATCCTGATCAGAAGGATTCCGACCGTGGTGGCGGTGACATGCACGGTGACGCTTGCGACAATTGTCCCACTATCAGGAATGACGATCAAAAAGATATTGACGGAGACGGTTATGGAGACGCTTGCGACAACGATATGGACAATGACGGTGATTTATAGATGAATCCCAGTATATTATTCATTTTTAAATTCTCAATTGCAACCTGATCATGAATTCTATACACCTTATAGGCGTTATCAATCAATTGGATAATTGTCCCCATAAGGAAAACAAGGATCAAGGTGATCGGGATGGTGACGGCATTGGTGACGTTTGCGATAATTGTCCCGATGTATGGAATCTCCATCAAGTCGATGCAGACAGTGATAACGTCGGTGATACCTGTGACAATAACATTGATACAGATCGAGATGGTATTCAAGACAATATGGATAACTGTCCCAGAATACCAAATTCCGAGCAAACTGATACTGATCGCGATGGCAAAGGCAATGCCTGCGACAATGATGCTGATGGTGATGGAATTGACAACTATTTGGACAATTGTCCATTCGTTTATAATCCTAATCAAGAGGATCTTAACAGTGAGTGAATTCATGCATCTCGTGTTAAATAATAAGAATACGAGTCCGAATACTGATACAGTGAATTTCTTCGTTCTTAAGATGACAAAATAGGGGATGCCTGCTGGAACGATAACGATGGCGATGATATATTAAATAAATATGATCCTTGTCCAAATAACAGTCTTATATGGGCAACGGATTTCCGTGAATATTTGACTATAAATTTGGACCCAGAAGGAAAAGCTCAAATCGATCCTGAGTGGAAGATCTTGAGTAACGGTTCTGAAATTCTTCAATCCAAGAACAGTGATCCCGGCATAGCAGTTGGTAAGCCGTTACATTGGTTCCGCTGCACAGACCAATTATAAAATAATTATTTACATACTAGTTTTCTTAAAGGTTATCACAGATTCGGCGGCGTCGACTTCGAAGGAACATTCTACATCGACACGGATATCGATGATGACTATGTAGGCTTCATTTTCTCTTATCAGAATAACCGCAAATTCTACACAGTAATGTGGAAAAAGAAGTCGCAAACTTATTGGCAACCAACGCCATTCCGCGCATTTGCCGAGCCCGGTATTCAAATAAAATTAGTTGACTCAGAGACTGGCCCAGGAGAGATACTGAGAAACAGTCTCTGGCATACTGGTAATACCACAAACCAAGTTAAGCTTCTCTGGAAGGATCCGATGAACGAGGGATGGAAAGAGAAGACATCTTACAGATGGCAATTGTTGCACAGACCACAGATCGGTTTGATGAGATTGCGAATTTTTGATGGACTCCAAATGATCACGGATTCTGGAAATATATTCGACTCGACATTAAAGGGCGGACGTCTTGGTGTCTTCTGTTTTTCCCAAGAAGATATAATCTGGTCCGATTTGGTTTACAGATGTAACGGTAAGTGACTAATGTATATTTAATTTCATGTATCCGTAAATATTGATTATCATTAATTTTATTCGCAGAGAATGTTCCCCAGATTGTGTATCGTGAATTGCCACAATCGCTTCGAAAGAAAGTTAGCATAGATCGGAGCAAAATTCGCTCGACATAGGCAACTCCATCGAACAAAGAATAAATAATCTTCGATGACTTTTACCAGAGAAAATTAAACCAATAACTTTAATCACACGTTACGACTTTGCAGTGATTTGATTTGTTTTTATAGGCTGAACGACAAATTCGAACTTTATGCACGATAATATTCAACATTTTAAAAAGTAAATGATGTGTCTCTAATTTAGTCAATCATAACTTCCTACAAAGTGACAAGGATGCACACTTCAGATTTAAGAGAACTTTGCAAGAAGTAGTGCGACAATATTTTCGAAATCTTTCGAAGGCATGCACTCGCGTACAATATTTGTCGAAAGGATGATAGATAACCATAGTTAACTGAACAAACAAATATTTTTCTAATAAATAGAATATACTAAAAAACATGCGAATATGTAAATCAAAATAAATGAACCATCATAAAAGGTATCCTTTGAGTACAAGTGTAAACCAAAGTCACCAGCCAGCTAATCTGCGGCCTGCCCACTGCGATTAACTAATTCATACGATGAATTTCTTCATTTCCTGAACGTCGTCGAACGTGATTTTAATTATTTTAATACAAATACAATAAAATGACTCAAACTTACGATATACACAAGGCGATCTATCGAAGCAATGCGTTTCGTGCTTTACCCACAGATTTAACAAACTGTACTTTTACCTTTTTTTAAGTTTCAGTACGCTTTATTCGGCGAGTAATAAATTGCGTAAAATAAAATAAAAATTGTGAAAAGACATTTTCCTACGAGATAAATAGAGGACAATTTTTTATTTAAAAATGTTCTAATTTACCGAGTCGTTAACTTAATCTACAAATGTAGCATTTGAAATTTGTAAATAAAAAATAATTCATAAATCTTTCATGAGCTCAAAATAGGCGCGCGCCTGGCGTGCGCAGTGAGCCTCCAGTATAATTTATAAAAGTCATTGACCAATAAGAGAAACTTAGTCACAAACGTGGTATTAAAGTGAATTTATTGTTACCATTAATTAATAAATTATTATAATTTGCTATTTAATATTTCCTTATTGAAATTGACGTAAACAGTCTTCTTACAATGCTTGCTCCCTTGCAGCTTTACAATATTGAAATAATGTAATGAATCAGTCGTCCTATCTTTAGGTATTATAATCCGTAGTTTATAACTACTATCTCTCAAATTCACTTTAAATCGTGTTATACAATTTCCGTAAATCTCCTAGCCTATTCGTTTATCGTATTATTCACGTGATATATAAATACGGCCTACCTACAATAAATTAATAGTTTTTAATCTGCTTAATTCCTACTTAACTATATACACTAAGCGTGTAGTCGCTCGAATATTTGGGATGTTGTACTAACGTCTGATGCCAACTGTCATTATACTAGAGTTACCGTGATGTGGCAGTGGTTGCTCAGAATTCAGTTTAAGGCAGTTGGGCACCCTCCGTCTCAAAGTGTCAATCAGAGGACAGAGGCAATTCGCAGTACCTACTTATACTGAGCACGTAAAAAAAAAAAATAAAAAAAAAATAGAAAATAAAGTAAACGAACCACAATTCCCTCGCGGATATTACGATAATGTTCTACGTGGAATATAATCACCGTTGAATAATTGAAATTTTACTGACAAGTAATAAGTGAAAACTTCATTACCGGTATCGAACTACACCATCGAAAGTCAAACCTACCCGATATGAATACGCGAGAGAAATGAGCTCCACCAACTGAGGATATAAATTTACATCATGATACGTTAAACTCGCTTGATAGCGATCCTGACTATGAGTATCCAACCGCCTTAACGTTGTCCCTCCGTCGTCGCGTCGAGGAGCCTGACGACGTCACAACCGTCAACGAGAAGGGTCACCAAGCCTCCGTATATCGAACGTCAAATTCTTGCAGTGCGGGTAATCTCTTCTTCAACGATTCGAATGTCTGAGCCGAGAGTTTCGTGCTGTTCAGGTTCAATTTTCTTAGGCTGGTGAGTGCTGGGATAAAAATGAATTAGTTTCATCTTATGGCAATTACAATAAAAGTACTATCGACGACAGCGACAAGAACTCACAGGCCAGAGTAGATATTCCTTTGTCGGAAACCGGCGTTTCACAGAGATTTAAAACCTGCAGCTTCTGTAGGTGCTCGCTTATCATCTGTAGGCCGGCATCGCCGAATTGTGTGGCCCAAAGATTTAGGTATCTCAGAGCGGGCAGCTTAATGAGCTGCTCGGCACAGGCGGAAGTCACGGACGTAAAAGCCAGACTGAGACATTCCAAATTTCCAAGTGCACCGCCACCCAGGAGCAGAGCGACGTCGGCGTCTGTCGCACGTACTGGCAAAGTCAACTTCCTGGGTCCACCTTTCTGTTGCTGGAAGGAATTCATAAAATGAATATGCAATCAACTTTCGTGTCTTCCTTCAGTCCTAGATAACTCACTAGCTCTTGTAAGTTTCTCTGTCTTTGACAGAGATCGGCGTAACGATTGCGTCCGGATGGCGTGGACTGAAGAGCCGAGACAACCTGGAGTCGAGCCTCCTCGTTCGGCAAGAGACGCCACTCAAGCATTAGACAAAGTGCTTCTTGAGCAGCATCGCAATCCCTGACTCCCAAAAGTACACAAGCTCCGCCAGCTTGCTTCATCAAGGAGCCAATGAACCTCTTCCTCCGGCAGCAGCACGCCAGAAGAGTAGTAAGCTAGAAAAACCATAGGCACTTGCATCGTTAATCTCTTCAATTTGATACACTCTGTTAGCAGTCAGAGAAGATCAAGATATATTTCTATATTATCATAGAATTCGATGTGCTCACTAGTCAAAAAGCTGCATATACAGTTTCCATAGCACCACTAACAGGCACTTGGCTTAATGATTGACATGCTAACTACACGTTAAGGTTAACGCGTTTATAGGTCAGCGTTCCACAATTATTAGATAGTGATGCTTGCCCGTCATTACCTACTTACGCTGTTAAAATATTCTATAGTAAACCCTGCTTTAACTATACGCTTATACGCGGGTCTTGCATATATGTAGATGCATTCGCGAAGCAGACAGGAAAGCAGCGCCGATATCATTAGATAAACAAAGTAGGTCCGTATAAAATTAAAAATAAAGACGTGAAAATATGTTGATAAGTAATTCGTACCATCTCGCCAAACAGTTGACCCTGATCAGGACAGGCTGGACTGGAGGGCGCCACTATATGAATCCAGCCAGGTCGTGGCTCTCTGACTGGCAACAAGACCCTATGAACGGAACATCTGGGGTCCTTAGCTAAACGCTGCATGGCACATAACAGTATAGTTTCCTGAACTTCCTTATCAGCCAACGCCTCCTCTGGGAATGGTACTGGTTGAAGCAAAGCACCAAGTCCTGGCCTCCAGTCTGCGTATTCAGAACTGAAAAGATCATATTCCTGTTTATATTGTTACAAAATTGTATACTCTTACATAGCTCTGATACATACGCGACATTTAAAACTAAAAGATAACATCGCAATGGCGGCAAACTCGTAGGCTGATCCTCGCTAGGCGGTGTACGATTGGACACTTCGAATCTGGGAACATTGAACATTGCATAAGAAACAAATAATTTATCATTAATACTTAAGGTAATCTCATTGAGAAGTGTGATTAAAAGAGCCTGATGAAAATTTACCTATGAAATATGGCTGCTACGCAAATGGACACGAGATTAGGTAAGACTCTAGGATGTGGACAATCGCTGCCTGGTCCATGTACGGAAGCAATGTAATCCCTGATTGCTTGCTCGCCGTCATTATTCTCATGCAAAGCAGCAATGAAGACCTGAAGGAGTTTCCTCATGTCCGGCGACTTTCCAAAGTCAACGGTGTGCTTGAGGCACCTAGTGATCGCTGGGCATTGAGCCAAGACCAGGGGAGACTTCGGATGTCTTTGAGCTAGCCGTGCCAAGGCTCTGGCCAGGGCGGGAGGTGGTGCTGCTTTTTCCAATAGAGGCGCTGCCACCGCGAGAACAGCTTCTGCCCAGCTTCTATCCTCTGTTTCACGTTCCTCGTTACTGATCTTACTTGATTCATCATCCGGTACTGGATCCTCCAGAAGCTTCGCCACCGCTTCCAAAGGTGCTCCAGCTACTCGCTCATCTTGCAAAGGCGTCCACAGTGCAAAGTCTACCATTGTCTTCAATTCTCTCAGAACAATTTCGTCCCTGGTGTTGGATGATACCAGATGTTGATACTTGAAGATGCTCTTCTGCATTTGGATTAAAAAAAAAAAATAATTTATTTCAATTACTCTTAAAATTTCTCTATACAAGGATCATTACTTTTGCTCACCTTCCATAATATAGAATGATACCACTGATCTCTCGTGTAGGCATTGCTGGCTTGGAGAAGTAGAGAGCCATCCGGTAGAACGATCCTTAAACAATACTTGTATGTAGGGTCCCATCTTGCTACGGTATACACCTCGGACATACTACTGTACGGTACTGGCTGCTGAAGAAATCCTGTAAGCTGAAAATATATACCTAAATGATATTAACGACTAGCACAGCTAATTTAAAATACAAATTATATATTTTTTTTAAATTCACTTTTCCGTCTCTCCCATTACATACAAATACCAGAAAATTAACGCGTTCTTATTTTTCTCAACAGCAATATCTCTTATCTTCGTACCAAAGCGGCTGTTATTATTCGCTTCGAGAACAAATCGAGCAACGAAAGTTGAATGACGTACGAAGAAATTTCCAAAGAGATACAAGAAGAGTTGTACATGAATATGCATATACGTATATGGAGATTTCAATGAATAAATTGAAACGAGTTTTATAGTTGGTGGCTCGACAATTTTTTCTTTTTAATTGACGTTATTAGCCGTGCGATAAGAGGTCTGTATAGTAATTATAAGAAATTCGTAGCCCCCCTCAAAAAAAAATCTAACCGATAAATTTCATTGACTAAGACATAAGAAACGGTAGGTACAAATCACAAATGCTTCCATCGAAAGTAAATAACATTCGAAAGTATAGCGACTTAAATGCTAAAGATTGTATTAATACACGCAAGTGATTACACTATACATTTTACTATAGATTTTATACTATAATAGCAGACAATATCCCTATGGGTCCTAAAAACGTATATTTCTATGCGATGAAAGAAGCAGCATAAAAGGACTGGCAAAAGCATCCTCATTAATCTTCGTTAATACTGATATTTAGTTATGGCCGCGACGACTGACTATTCACGGAGAAAAAAAATATGTGACGTATCTTCATTACGAGATCGATTACTCAAGCGGTGAGTGACGAGGGCACCGGATCGTTCGCGCAATTGTAATAATCACAAAATATCAGCACATGAGCGTACTTGATACTCAACTACACATAAAGATACCACATATCTCATAGTGGCATCTTTAAAAACCAGGGGAACGGGGAAAGTTAAGAATCGTATCAGTAAATCATCAGACTGAAATACATTCAATGTCGATTATCCGCAGCCTAGTCAGTCCCATTCTCGTTTTACAAATAGTTTATACGTCACGCCAAAAACTAATTCCTAATTAAATAATCATTGACGTTCTCGCAGTGGCCTTTGAGGCAAATAAAAACTAACTTCGTATCTGCATAGAAGAAGATAGAATAACGAGAATCATGAAAAAAGAAGTCATTATCCCAGCACCCTCCGTAAAAAAAAAAAAAAAAAAAAAAACCAACAAGAAAATTGCATGAATAAAAGTGACGAGAAAAAAAAAAGAAGAGAAAAGAAAAAAAAGTCACCAGAATTTCCAAACGATTCTCCACGTTGTCAACCGACATCCAAGTTCTCGGTAAACAATGATCGTTCATCGGAATCGTTATTCACCTTTATATCCCACGGACGGATGACACCACGGAGTAAGGACACCATTCGAAAAGAAAAGGAATGACCAGGAAGAATTAAAAAAAGAGAGAGGGGAAAAAACTGGAATAAACGTGCGTTGCATAATACGTGCAGGTGCCGAGGACAATGCGCTCTGGTTCATGTGTACACAACGGTAGCCCGACTCTCGTGAACGTTGAGAACGGACACAAGCATAACCGGTAACGCACGTATACGAGAGGCGCTTGCGTGGGGAAGAGTGAATGACGTCAGAGATGAATCTAGGCCGAGGGTTGAACGACTGTTGAAGCAGGCTCGACCGAATCTAGAACGCTGCATCCCCTCAATGAACGGAGTCAGAAGCCAGCCCAGATATATATATATATATATACACATACAGAATGGACAGAGAAACTATGCAATAACTAATAAAATTCCTGTATAACCTCAAAGTTATGTCATCGTATCCGTACGCCACGATACCTTACAAAGATAACAGTTTATATTGCAACAATCATTTCGTCTAGTATGATAATGTTACCAGAGGGATGATTTTGTGAAATTGTATATATTCGACAGTGCTTTGATTCTAGTAATTAATAATCATAACAAATGGTGCCTTATTTAGACTACTGTGATACGTCAACAAATCGTTCACAGCACGTCAGCTGATAGACGCGCATTTAGTCTGCGGAACGACTTCGCAACGTCAGCTTTCGTGGGTATATATATCTATACACGTGTCTAGATCGTAAGCTTTTTCCTTATTAAATTCGCGTGACCACGAGAGGGCTATCGTGCCAGTGTAAGAAGATGGTGTGGGCGTCTATACGAAATAGTGGGACGTTTATTTCCACGCTTGGTTATCTCTGGAGTTGCTTCAAGCTAGAACGTATAAATAAGGACGGAGGATACAGAGATAGTGCGGTTACATTAGAGTAACTAGACGATTCCGTATACTGGCCCGACGTTCCTACAGCGTAGATGCGTATATTGTGATTGCGTTTACGTTTTACAATATTGCGCGATACTACCCTCCATAATGAAATACCATTGTATCCAAGGATATTGTTATTTTATGACCTTTTGTGTATGATTTTTTTAAATGAAATTGCATAAAGCTACCAATGCCGATCCGACCCGAGAGTTCCTTCAATGGATTCGATTTTACCGGACAACCGAGCGTCGGAGTAGCAACGACTACAGAACACGTATCCAGGGTCAGCTTTGACGTCAGTCAACTCACGCACAGGGCACACACTCTTGCATTTCCATGATATTGTCCCCCCAGATCCCGAAACCGATACGCCACGAGCGCACGGCAACGCGAAACCGAACCCACGACAATCTGTACGACGATATCAACTTCCGGTCACATATGAGATCGTAAGGATTGAAATCGATAGGGATACTGAGATGAATCGAGATGAATTAGTTATTATGAGTTAACACTTTTTCTTGTCGTCTCGGAGGAGATACAATCTATTTCGAGAGATCCAGCATTATTTTCACACTTCGTTGGAATTACGTCACGGCGACGCGTGACGAAAGCGTTCTGAAACGAAGACGTCACTGGTACATTTTTTTCTTCTCTTTTTTATCATGTTTTTCGAATGGCGAAACACAAATTTCATTTGACGTTTCCCAAAGGACCCGTCGATACAATATTTTTCTTGGTAACGACCTGCTAGAGCGTGACTAAAAAATATGATAAAAAAAAATATGACTCTAACGATCATAAGCGAATTATTGACCCAATGACTGTACGAAAAGGTGTCATGAATTTTTTTTTTAGTATACACATTAATTACGTATGGAAACAGATGTACCGATCGCGGTATTTTATTTGACATAGAAGATTGCGTCTTTTGAGAACCTTGAACGCACCTTTTTTTTTTCATTGACGATAAAGTCTTATCTTTAATTTCGCTACTTTTATCCATCGTCCTCCCTGTCTCCCTACTCTCTTTGTATCCCTCTCTTAATCGTTTCATGAAAATCGGACGATCACGATTCGGACATGCATGATTCAGCTATCGTACATGGACGAGTTTCAATCTTCCAGTAATACGCGAAATTTCACTTGGCACTTATCACGGTAATATATCTACTATCTGTGGACTAATAACGGGACGTATGTATTATCATAAATGCTGTATGATTATAACCTGTGCAAAAGTATGATGTAAGTCGAGACCAAGAACATGAGTAAATTACAATTATTAGCAGCATTTGCGTCCATATTACGGCATCATTACTCGCTGCTGACTCATATACAACTTTAAAGTACTATTAGCCAGACACATTCTTTCCTTAAATATTGATCATCGTTACGAATTTACCTCAGAGCGATCGTTATCCGAGCAGCGCGCATAGGACGCGAGACACTGCATGTATCCCTGGTACGTTCGACGTCATTTGCACCAACGAAATTATATTGACGTCATGCGAATGCGTTATTTAATAATTTATACACGTATCACTCGAAATCACTCCCTCATCGTATTCTCTGAATTTCATGCATGATTACTAGCAATCAATAACTTTGGTTCCAATTCAGAGACGTTGATCAATATATTTTCCGACGCCATGACGATCGAGCCTCGTTCCCGGCGCACTTCAGTGCAGTACCTAGGAGCGAGTGAAATAAATCTCGATTGACGTTCGATATATCGAATTTGAAAATCGCTTGAGAACGAGACGATTGCAGTCATCGTGCGCACAATCAAGGACGTAATAATTGTACGATCAATCGGAATTATGTTAATCTGACATGAACGTGATAAAAAGCCTTTTTTTTTTAATTCAATCGACATACTGGTTTTGATTTATCGCCAATATTAAATCACGCGCGAAAGTTTTTCTTGACTTTTGAATAGATCAAAGTGTGTGTGTGTGTATATATATATATATTTATTACATATATTACTGCTATCCGACTGTGAATGTATATATGCATGCCGTAAAAAAAAATATGTGGGATTTTCCTTTAAATAAAGTATTGTTTGAAATTTGATGCCGTGTATCGTCGATGCAATGAGGTACGTAGATATTTATTGCACCTGAGGAGTATACATTAGTGGATGCAGAAATTCCTATTTTTTTTTCTTTCGTTTGATTTACGCTGCGTAGGAAATCAATCTTCCGTGTACCTTCGTCTCCTCTCCACTTCTCTTTGTAATACGTTTGCCGTAACACTTTATAACGTAACATTTTTTTTCAAGACGAGCAATTGACCTTTTCTCATGGAAGCACATGCGAGGCGTTTAACGATAAGCTGAAGTAAAAAATATTCACGTTTTATTTTGCGGTCTGACAAAAATAATACCATCCAATTACCTTGTGGTATATTACAGGGGTGCGGTAATGATTCACCAGCCTGGCAGACATTGTCCGAGTGACACGCATAAATGGGTGAAAAGCAAAAGAGAAAAATGTAAATTGGAACGATGCAATAATATACGATATGCATATATGCATGTGTTAGGTGCGATAAATAGTATTATAATCAACGATTTCATAACGTATTGCGCCATGCTGTGGTCAGGTGAAATTTCGCGTGATGCAACGTCAAAATATTATAGATGAAACCAGTCAATTTGCATTCACGACGTCAAAATTCGAAATAAGGTTAGTGTCATAAAGTCAATCAAATTTCGAATTATGGCAATTAATTTTTTTTTTGTAAAATTTCCTTGATACTCTTTCGATAGAATAAATTATAATTCATTGATAGATTAAAATTTTCGTCTTCTGGTTACTGGGATCTATTTGTGGATTTTAATTTTAATGGAACCTCAGGCCGCGATGACACGTGTAATTTCTAATTTTAATTGCCATATGCAGAATACCCTCTCGCATATACCAGAATTATATACTTACCCTTGGCTATGCTTGTATTATATAAGCCTCTGACAATAGAGCGAAATACGATTCTGGGGAATACATGGAATATAGATTCTAGAATATAGATTGAGACGTAGTGTAGGACCTATAGTCAATCCACAACTTAAGTGTGAAATCCAGGGGACTCCTTTGCATTGAATTTCGTAAGGAGATGGCCCTTCGAAACACATTTTACTAAACTTATGGGATATACGCTCGAATGAATTCGGTTGATTGAATATAGAGTATTGTTAGTAAACAATGTAGATCAGAAATATTATATCTATAAACGATTCCTCTGACTGTGGAAGATTCCCATAAGGGATGCCAATGAACCTGAAATCCTATCACGTGTAATATCAAAGTCCACAACTGGATCTGTTCACAGAAGTGATTAACGACATTGACTACTAAAGACGTTCACAGGACTGTCAAATAGAAATAGCCGAAATTGAAAACAAAAGAAAAAGTATATAAACATTGAAGTTGAATATGAAATTAGCAATACGAGAGGTACCAACCGTCTTGGAGGATAGACAGGCATCGTTGAGATACAAATGATGTGTCTCCCAACGTCTGAGAAACTTGCTGGACAGGATCTTGCTGACAAGAGTCCTGGTGTGATTGAGATAGCAGACCTGAATGTCACCTTCTTCGAGAGGTTTGAATCTAGGTCCAGCTGGTCCTGGACTTGGACTTGGACTGGAGGATCCACTAGCGGATGAACACCCGGCGCTTTGACGTTCTAGGTTGGGACATGATCTCGCAGCAGGTAGACATGTCGTTTCCAATGGCTGAGGTTGTAGATTTACATTAACCGGTGTATCTTCGGCAAAGGAGCCCGCCTCGGGCTCCGGCGGAGACTCGGCACTGGATCTAGGACTGGTGCCGGAGGACAGCTGCGGCGAGCTCGTACTAGTGGTCTCCTGACGCATGGATCCGTTAGCCGAAAGGAATCCGTAATAGGGAACACTTGGTACAAGGCCAACAGCGGCGGCTGGACTCGACGGTAAGGAGCCTTCCTCGGTCTCGGTTTCCTGATTAGGATCTTCGTCAAGATCGCTAAAGCCGTTCTCGAACGAAGGGATGTCGTTGACCGAGGCGAAGACCTCGCGCGACTGAGCTTCCAGCACGTCGCCACTATCGGTTGGTTCCCCCTGCTGCAGCGCGAGCGGCGAAACAAACGGCGCGGAAGAGGCGGTACCGTGTCGATGTGGACCGTTCTGATTCCTGGCGGAAGAGGGCGTCGAATCGCTAGCCGGCGAAGGTGACGGGGACGACGTTTCTCCGGTGCTGGATGCGGATGAGTCTGTCGATCTTAATCTGAGGAGAAGCTTTCGTCTCCACCTGGATGCTGGTGCTTTTTGTGACGGTGACACCTGCGTGCGGGAAGCAACGTAGGCACCGTCCAGTTTGTTATCAATAGTCGATAGGGTGATACCATCGTTAGTATCATCGGAGACACCGTTCACAAGAATCCAGGTATCTTTCGCAGAGGGCGTTTCTGGTATGATTGAATCTGGACCAGGTGATAACGGATCTGTCTCCAGATAATCTGCACGGATACCAGGTAGAGTGTCAGTGCTACTACCCCCAGACATGGAGAGTTCCTGATCGATAAATCTGATGGAGGAAGATCCGGATCCCTCACTGGTCGCTTCGGAGCCTCTTCTCCTCAGGTCTGATGAGGTCGTGGTAGCCTGGGTCGAGAGTGGCGGGGGTGGTACTACTCCTCTAGATGCGCGTGCAAAAGGACTTTGGAAGCAAAACATTTTCATGGATTTTGAACCCTCTTTAGGTAATTCCTTTTCTCCTTCTCCCCGTAGTACAGTCCTTTCGAAGCTTCTTTCTAGCTCGTGGAGGCCACCAGGGAAGTCCTGACGCCGACGACGTTTAAAATTCAAGATAATTACAACGAGAAGTTCAATGCGGACGATTCCTCCAGCCGACGGCGTCTTTTACAAAGAATTTGTCTACCGCGTAAGACACTATCACTGGATCTTCTGTTATCCTCCTTTCAACTACTGATGATCTCACAAACAGCACCTTGTATTTCACCATATCATTTTTTGCGAACCCTCTGCGTCGTGTCGCGACACATTTTCGACGTCGCCGCCTCGACTGGCGATTAGACGAATTTACATGACGATGGACACGGCACAATTTACACGTACGGCCGCGTATTCAACGCGTATGGCCTGATGACGTCGAGGGTACAGAGACGTTCGTAACTTCACTACAATTTCCCGGCACGTTTCTCAATTTCTTTGTTCCGTTTCTCCCCACTGGTAACTAAGCCATTGACGATGACGTCGCAAAGTCCAGGGTGAGCGTCGTACCTTAAGGACGGATAAAGACAACTCGGTCGTTGCGGTGGTGGCAAAGAAATTACGATCTCGAATTCGAGAATATTTCGAGGTGTGTTTCTGACGTGACGCGTAATAGTCTGACAAGCAGGTGGAGCGAGGAGAGGGCGTCGCGGCGCTTGGCGTCCGTCCGATCGATGCGAGTCGCGAACGTATTCGTTGGTCGGGATTATTACACGCGAGAGCCACAGTTATATATGTGTATGAATATATACACTCGCACGCGCGCATACACCAAACACCACATATATACTCATATATCAGCAGTACAGAGCAACGAACCAATTGAAATCTACTAGCGAATACTCAACGGTGAGATCTTTACAATTGAGCCGCGTCCCTTGGTGTCAAAATTCTTCTTGGCGACATTCACGACGACCAGGATGAGAATAATGAGAATAATTGAGGCGTCGGTACACCAACCGGAACGGCCACCCACAATAACAATCCTGAGAAGAATTCTCGCCCTTGATAACCAGGAGGATATTCTTCATACGACCGGCGTACCTTCATGCTTAGGTTAAGAACCAAACAAACAGAGTCTTATTGGATTTAATATTATTTAGGTAGTTCCTCCCCAAGTTTCTTCACCAATCTCCAACGTTTCTTCTCCCTTTATTGCCTTGCAGTTATTAAACTTTTCTCCAATTTAGAGCCAGCAAGTTCAGAAGAACGTTTCTCATAGCTCCTTCGATGGTAGGGATAACCAAGATGTGACAGGTAAGAAAGCTCAGGGCAAACGAAATCCCTACTGAAAAACAAGAGATGTTCTCAGTTATCGATACAAAAGTCTAATACGATCTTGCGTTATCGCGTGCACGGCAAATAACAATAATGCGAGTGAACGCGCATGCGCAGTCCGTCGGCGTGCATTCCCGCGTACAATACAATAGTCATGGATAATTACATCGACACGCAGCTGGAGCACCGTTCGACGACGGTATCCTAATTGTAATATTTAAATGAGGCAGTGAGTTGTTTTCACCGTATCGTTGGATTTACGTCAAACGACGATGCCAGTCCGCGCTTAAAGATGTGGCTACGGCGATATTTATAAATGTGCGTTAAATTTTTGGGATTGCTGAGGGGTAACAAGAGGGACTCAGAGTCTCAAGAAGGCGGAGGCACCAGAACGTTACCTACTATCGATTCTATATATAAACGAGTTCGTGGTCATTCTAATTGGCGTAGCCCCACAGTACGACATTCGACTACGACTTTTAACCCGCACTGACCGGCAAATCGTGCGCAACCTACCTAAATATACGTACTGGCCAATTAACTTTAGTCACTTTCACCACGTCGTTTATTTATGTCTCTTGCTATCCTTTAATTCTGACACTCTCGCGCGGAGTTAAACGTTTCATAAATAAAATTCGCACTCACTTATTTACTGTTTAAAACTCTTCTACGTTTCAGGTACATAATTTACTGATGCACGCAGCCACCCTTAACACGGTCACCATATGAACACCACGCTCCAGTAACATTCAACCCCTGTATTATACGGTCTTACGTAATTTTGCCATTCCCCCGCTCATCCCCTTACACCAATCCCTTCACTATTTCGGTTTCTAATTCCGAGATACACTCAGGACACTGGATGCCTTTTATCGACGAGATAGACAGTCGCGCTTTGCTGAGCTTTCATCCAAGGTAGGAGTACTGCTCGCTAACACGCCAGACGCGCAACTGTAACCGCGAGACTCGCGCACGACAATAACGCGGTTAGTTCTCGCTGCTTAGATACGAGATACGCCGGCACTACGATCGCTTCGCACTAACTTCTGTACTGCCTGACGGCTTACATGACTTTACGGTGTTTTCCGTCATGGCATTGAACGTAGACTTACCTGTTGCTTCTGTAGTGCGACAGAGTGACGTTAGTGCTGTATCGACGTCTGTAACGCTTGTAATATTGATTTTAATTTTTTTTTTCCTTAGATTTATGGAAAAACAACCTTGTGTAAATTGCCGGAGAGACTTGGTACGACGCATATTTTTACTTAAGATTTATTCGAATCTAATTATATGGTAAAAAAACAAAATATACGTTTATATTTATGATAATACAGCGTATTAACGGATTATTGAACTCGTCATTTGTATATTTATTTTCGAGTATGGCAATAATTAAGGCGCGTTTTATTTGCGCGTTAATTTTTTTGCCAATTAACATGATTTTCAACAGCTTGTAGCTGTTTTAATTTTATAGATATTTCTAAATAGAGCCACGCTGGACGCCCGTTTGTCTTTCAGTGATACGTGTTGACGAAAAATATAGAACTTAATTCCACGGCGCACTTAATTCCTTGCCATTATCTTAGGTTACATTTGTTTAGTCATTCAACGGTACGTCTTCTTTCCTGTGGTAATTTTATTTGATCCCTTCCAACGGCCATCCAAGCTTCTATCTCTTCAACACTGCAAGAGAATGCAATAAAATCATGAGAAATGTGTATCGGTCAACTGGAAGAGTATTTTTTCTCAAACTTAGAATTGCCAATGACGTTACACGGTTTCAAAGATTAGCGTTAGAGATTCTCTGTAGCGTCATATACGGCTTACGCAACTATGTACACTACTAGGACAAAATTACTTCGGTACGAGCAACCATAAATTGTAAATAAAAAAACTGAAGGTCTTACGTGCGAGGAACGCAAGTCATGTTTTCCACACCAGATTCCGTGATCAAAATATCATCTTCGATCCTAACTCCACCCCAACCACGGAAATCTCTCAAACGTTCTGGAACGATGAATTTGGATTGTTCCGGATTGGCTAACGCCGCATCCAGCAGCTATAATTAATTCATGAAATGTTACTTCTTGTAAACAGTATTTAATATCATGAATATTTCTTGGTAATAACTTACGCAATCAATAAAGTAACATCCTGGCTCTACCGTGAGGACCATCCCTGCTGATAAGGTGCGAGCAGTCCTCAATTTCCTGATACCAGGAGCCACTGGACGTTCTGGACATCCTGGCAAGTATCCACCCACATCGTGAACATCCAAGCCCATCAAATGGCCAAGTCCATGGGGTTGGAAGACTTCGCCCAATCCAGCTTTAATCATGTCATCCACGTCGCCAATTAATAGTCCACCCTTCTTCAGTGAAGTTAAGAGAACCTTGTTGGAGAGGAGGTGCATGTCGACCCACGATACCCCTGGTTTAACCGACTGTAAAACAGCATTGCAGGCATCCAAAACAGCATTGTAGATCATCTTTTGATCTTCGGTAAATTTCCCATTAGCCGGAAAGCTGCAGGTGATGTCCGCCGCATAACCACAATAATTGGCACCCATGTCGAAGAGGCTATACCGCGATAACAAATAGTACATAATTAAGAGTCATCAAGAAAATCCAAACATATTGACGCAAGTTTTACGCAAATCCTAAGACGCGTGAGAGGTTCGTAATTATCATGAAGATCAAAGTTCATGAATTTTACAGAAAGTGATATTAAAAATACAACAGAGCGTGATGAATATAATGCGCAAGAATGATAGCAACGATAAAAAAAGTCTCATTCTTAGTACATACGAATTTTAAGATGGAATGAACCATTTCTACCATCTACTACTAACTACAAGTTCTTCATTTAGTTCATTAATATTTTCGCGGACCTTAAACTTACCAAATATCACCATCTTGTATAAGTCTGTTGTTAGGTACTCCAGCGTGACCATAATGCAGAATGGAGGCATTGTGTCCGGAACCGCAGATGCAGGTATAAGAAACATTTCTACATCCGCCAACGGAATATGCATAGTGTAAGAATGCTGATTCTCCTTGGTACTCCATTAAACCCGGCTTTACGGCTCTCATGACCGCCTTGTGTGCCTCTGAACTTATCTTGACGACGTAGCGCAGCACCTCTATCTCTTGCGAAGACTTTATTACACGGCTGTGACATTCAAACAATATGACGATTAAACATTGTCTATGACATTACATTTCTGAAAAATCTTTACGCAGCTACTTTTTTATTTCGATCAACCGAACAACCGACTTTGAGCATCGAGACATCGCGAGTCCTTGCAATTATACAAAGTGCACAAATTACGTAGGAACAAAAAGTGATAAAACCTTGGTTACCTAAAGGACACGTTTCTAACACTGTGTGTTAATTATTAAAAACAAATTGTTTACTTGCATACATTTTTATTCCAAGAATGGTACAAGGTTTTTCGTATTTTTGTTTGTATTGCTTCCAGCAATCGTTCCAGCATTGGAAATCACATAAATAATTTTGCTTTTGGCAAGCAAATACTTTTAGACAACACACGAGACTGGTAATTCAATATCAGAAAGCATCTTGAGCAGCTGCCAATCTCTCTGACAAATAATCCATCAACTCGATTGGATGAACTCTAAGCTTTAACAAAGTCTGGAAGTCTAGTGTCATGACACGTAGGCCTAATTTTCTAAAATGTCTAATCCTCATGACTTGATAACCTATTAATTGTTTAGTCCCGTAGCAATAGTGTTCTGGCAAATGTACAATAATGGCTATGTTCATATTCTTATGTTGCCTTAAATTTAGTTTGAATATTGACGATTTCATTGGGGACGAATGTATCAGAGCCTCTATTACGTACAATTCGATTAGTGGCAATTGACTCAAAATTACACTTTTACTCAGTCTATTTTCACCACCTACCAATTGCGCTAGCTGTTGATATATTTGATTAATGACACGTTTTACTTTAACATCGACCCAAAGAGACTTTGCCGATCTATCTGGTGGTAACAAAGGACCTCGATACTGTGGACACTGCAGTGTCATCGACATATCGAACAATTGTAACTTGTTACGTAAGAACCGCACATAAGCAGGATCATCGTACGACTGTATCTTCTTGAGGAAAGACGTACCAAATACTTTGTTAACAAAGTTCAAAGGGAACTTCTCCAAGCAGGTACAAGAGATGAGTACATCGAGCACGTCGCACGGGTCCATTTCGTGAAATTTATCGGCAAACGTTCTTTCCAAGACTTGCCAAAACTTCGGACCGTTTGGCGGTTGAAAGTCTAAAATACCAAACGGCGTGAAAAGAGATGCTATTAAAGACGACGGCATATCCATAGCGTGTTTAATAAAGTATTCGCCGCATCCCCAAAGAATGTGGGCATTTCTGATTTTCATATCGCGGCAATAATCCATTATTGCTGCTACAAGTGCTGGCTCCTCTATTTTCACTCCTTTCTTTATGATGTATTTCTCTAATGCCCTCACCACCACTGGATCAACATGTTCTGCTACATTTAAAGCTCGTACAAATTTCAACAGATCCTTCTCCGAAGCTGACTCCATACACACATTTGCCCATTTACTGGCGCAAGTAAGCATCTTTAGTGAGAATATATTATTATGCATATTACTCAATAAATCTGCCATCTGCGTACCAGTCATTTGCATCCACAGAGACAGAACTTTCTTCTCCAATATCGTTTGTATCATGTGCCTACTATGCTTGAAGTATGGTATTAGCGTAACTAGTGACATAATTTTATCCAACGTGATATCATGTTCCTTGGATTTTATTCCCACCCACAACATATCGATAGATTGTTCATATTTGGTAGCATTGAATTTTGACAGAATTGTTATTACATCTATCAATTGGTCCAAACTAAATTCCCCATTGACAATGCGAATTGTAATTTCATCGCACAGACGATCTCTGTATGCATTTACTGGTGGACTCACATCTTCTATAAGTAAACTGAGACCTTTCAGTAATGTATCAGTGTCTTGACTTTTGGCAATCATTTCAATCAGTTGAGTTAAAACTGTATCTCTACTCGCAGAATCCAATAGCATCTTCTCACCCTCTCTATCCTTTGTACTTATGTTTTTGAATCCTTGATTCTTTTCTAACTGCATGATTTTTTTAAGAACTTCTAAAGCAACTTTAGAATTTATTTGCTCATTGATCATCGTTTCAACAAATGAATATACTCCAGTTGGTGGGTAGCTGGAATCCAATCCTTCCAGCATTTGCTTTATATTAGCATTCTTCATGAAATCAAGGTCAGAGCCAAACAATACAGCAATTCCTTCATTGGTTTCTATGTCAATTCTCTCTTCCAAAGTACATTCTGCGCCCAATTTATTTTCCTCATTTATTTTATTATCTGTACTTTGTGTACTAGAAGTTTCTTTAATTTTCAAAGAATATTGATCATGAGAAGTTTCAATAATTGGTTTTTGTCTATGTTTTTCGTCACATAGAGCAACTATATCGCTAACCTTTTGTACAATCAACGGTACTTCCTGAATATCTATACCTTCTTCGACAAGTATGCTAGTACATGTCAATGGTTGCACTCTCCTAGGTCCACCACCTCCAGCTCCTGATTCCAACCATCTCTTACTAGATTTTAAAATGGGAAGTCTCGTTTGCACTGGAGATCGTAGTATCATTCGACTCCACATATTACCTCTCGCACTCATCTACCTCTGGGTAGAGACTTATATGACAAATACAAGATTTACTATCATGTCATAAAATCATCATTCTTTTTCACAACCAATATCAATCAATTGCAATGCAACATTAAAATCACTTAGGTATAACCTCTCGTTGCATTGTACAATCTTAAATACATCCAACGTTGGTTTTACAATTCAACGATGTACTGCTACCAGAATAGATACTTTTCTCTAGGTATTTACTCTTAATTTTTTAGTTTTTTATACGCAACTTTCCTCTTTAAAATCCTACACAATACCAATGACAAAAACCTTTCGGCATATTCTCTACGATAAACAGCTGATACTACTTGATACTAAAAATTAAAACTTGATACTGGTTTAAGACAAAAGTATCCTATTGTCACAACTATGTGGCAGCACGTGTATCAAACAAGAGTGTGCTCAGTCGATAAGCACCGAACAAATATAAACATTGCATACGACATACCACATTCGTTGCACACAAAAGACAACTTTCACAATTAATCTGTCCAAGTAAAACGATTTCTGAAATCATTATTGCGTAACATCATAAAAGAATTGTCTATAATATGCAGACACTACGAAATATATTAGAGTCCGAACAACTCGCTTATACGTTGTAGTATATTCAACGGACTGTTTATAAATGACTATGTGAAAGTTCAATGTAACGTTATATAACCTTATGATTCGAGTACCGCACAGACATCATACACGCCTATACAAACCTGATAGCAGCCATTTAAGGAATTCGAACAAATATAAATAGTACTCGAAATGTTATGTGATTCTGGGAAGTAACGGTGAAAACAAAAAGTGTTAGCTTAAGGCAATAAAAGGATAAATCTATCGGCACCGATGAGACATCAAAACACATAATTTCATAATCACGATTTCAATTAATGTTTGCGCAAAGTTACCAATACGCTAAATAACTCTTTTGTCTCGGTGTCATAACATCAGCTTTGACGAGATCAATAAAAACCTATTATCTCGTAACTTATAGAAAACAGAAATAATATCAGTTAACGATCTTATTTATGCTTATCGGATATCCACGAATATAAATATTATACTCACCATTCCGCTATCTCGGGAAAGAGAAGATTATTATCAACTTGGAACCTACAAGAATGAAAAAAAATACATATGATCCATTTAATGAAGCGATAGCAGAAAATTAATTTTTATTATTCTCCATAATCATTATACGTACTGCCCAATACCATCGAAAACAGCTTCGCGCGCGGTATTTCCGCTGTCTGTGTTTCTGCCGTACTGAAAACAAAGAAAATAGTAAATGAGAACAAATACCAAAAAGACAATTAAGAAGGCTTATACCATTGTAAACGATACGTATAAGACAGCCATGCGTAGAAACAAGTCTCGGAACAAAGTAAAAGTCTCCTTACGTAATTCTAGTTCGAGGTAAATAGAAAGCTCTTTCTACCAGTAGGCAAAAAGGTAACGTTAAAGTCTACGAGGCGTCGATTTCTTTTCTTTTTTCTTTTTTTTTTTTTTCTTCATCCGTCACCTAATATTTATCTCGGTTAAAAACTGACGCAACGACGACGACATTGCGAGTGCCGTGTTCCACTTACAGATATTATATACATGTAGATACCCGGGAACGTGGTATTTCCTGCGTTTACAATTTCCGCAGACTGTAACGTCCTTTGTTGCAAGTTAGAGTCAATGAAAGGAAGCAAATGAAAAATTTTATATTTTCACAGCAGCCAATGAATAATGCCCACTTTTTTTTTTCACGTGCACCGTGCAAACTAGGAATTTAATTAACGCGACAGTTTCTGTCAGTGGACAAACAACATGTCTGCAGAAAAATTGCGAACCTCGCACAACCTCGTGTGTATTCGTTCACGTGTCATCGGAGTAACCACTTTACGATGCGTTTTCATCGCACTGAACTACCGACGTCGTTACTGCATTACCATCGGTGTCGCAAAAAGATGTAACTTATAATATATATATATATAAATATATATACACACAAGCAGCAGTCAATAAAAATGCCCAACTCGCACTTTCCATCCGGTTTTTTTGAATGGATCGTAAAATGGCAGACGTTATATTTAAAGAATAAGCTTCCTTTTTGCCAGAGACAGACGGTGACGTATCTACACGTGCCGAATCCCACGCATTAGATATCAAGCTATACATACAGACGCCAAAATGTCTATTGTAAGAGGAGCAAAGATCGAAAGGCATAAACCAGCAAAGAGTAGGAGTTAATATAGCGGTGAATGGTGTACGTAATTATTCGTTATACTCAATATTAAATTCTAGCAGATAATAATAGTGAGTGATTTGTTCGTCCTTGGCATAAATATCAACCAGACGAATCAATTAAATAAGAGCGGTTTAATCAAGAGGCACTACAATCTTGCTCCGAAAACCTACTACCCGTGCGTAAGGAGAAAAAGGTCGATTGGTATTACTATTGCTCATGCGTCTGTCACTTAAAGATCAGTTAAAGAGAATTTGACGTCATGGGATTTCGACAGGAACTTGGCTCGTCTAAGAAATAGTTAAATTTTTCGAATCCACAGTTTACGTGGAAAAGCGTAAAAACTTGTTTAGCTCGATACGCAAGGATACTGTGTAAATTAGCATTACGATACCAACAAAAAAAAGTCTATGACTTTCTGGTACTGAACACTTTCTCCTAATCGAACTGCTTAGTAATACAATGTTGTAACTACCGGTAGAAACTAAGCGCTAAACGTCACTTTAGCGAGTTCATTATTAGCTTCATAAGCTTCGCGAGAAACTTTGAACGAAAATACCAATATAACATTAGCCAACATGGTAGTGACATTGGGAAATAATAAATATTTTAAAAAACTTGATTGGACGATATAACGTGTAAATCCTTGAGTTCCTCTGAAGTCCCAAGACGTGTTTTGCCATTTTGAAAAGTTTGCCGTCCAAATTATGATTCATCTAACAGAAACATAATCGATTCAAATTATATGTATACAACATATGTAGCGTTTATGAATACTGACCGACGAACCTGTCGAGTCTTACTTGTTAGCAGTATCTCGTTTTTGAGCAATACGAGTAAAGTTAAATGCCAGTGCTAATACGTAATGACAATTCAAGCGGCAAGCGCGACAAACGTTAATGGCCTTGGATCTTCGGTCTAGATTAAAGCGAAATGGGACCAGGCTCCATTTATAAATTCTATTAAAAAATAAAAAAAAAAACATCGCGACACGACAGCAACGTATTATTTCTTTAACCATGTCCCAAAATTACGGAACAAAGGCTTCAACTGCCCACCAAACAGACATCTTAAGACACGTTTTCTACATTTTCTTAGACATATATAAAGGAAAGTATGTCGAACTATGAACTTACGATGTCAGATTGAGGTACGAGACAGTCACTCGTTTACATTACACAACATGTATGATCGAGTCAAGTTTCTACTCAGCATTTCATGAAACTTCGAGCGGCACGTTGTGCCTCATGGCATTTCATTTCAATAGTAACTTTCTTTCTCGAAGCGAATATTATCCTTGAATACTTGAACTCCGTGGTATTGGCAAAGGAAAAAAAGAAAAAAAAAATATCAAGACACTCGCATAACATTGAAGATATACGTACTTCAGATTACTTTAAATCACATTCAAATACAAAGTTATCCGCAAGACGCAGGGTACATACGCAAATAAGAAAACGCTTAAGCTTACACATGCGAAATTGTCACTTGATTCGCGACTAGCGCGAACCGGTTCCCAGAAAGAGGGTTAATATCCTGAACCCGTAAATGGTGGGTGAGATGGTATTACGCAGTAATCGCACTGTCCTTATAAGAACACTGGTTAGGTAGAGATATACCACGGTATTATCTTTTAAAATATCATCCAATTATCCATTATGAATCGTAGCGATATCTTCAACTGATATTACACAGACAGTATTGTATAAAATCCCATTTGGAGTATTCGCGCGAACCATGAAGATCATCTTTGTAACGATCTTAGAATCCAGCTTGAGTTTCCTATAGGAATCAGCAGAGCGTTCATTGTAAACTTACCAGAGTGAGGAGCAGTGCCGCTTGCTTGTCGCTAAGGACTTGCGCTATCTGGTCGGTGTAGTAGGTCTCGTCAACGGCATATCTTTTCTTAAAGTCCTCCAACGAGTGCAGCTTGCCTTGCCATACGGCATACTCGGCTGGTAATCGTGGAAAGAAGAGAATTGAAGTTCCACTCGTGATATCAATGCATCCATAGCATCCTGGTTCTTCCACTCCAAAGCACCATTGGAAATAGGATTCCTAGAGAAGAAATAAGAATCTTAATATTTACTTAAACATTGAATTCGCTTTGACGATCTGCGAAGAGACGTGGTCGCTCTACGTACGCAGGACAAAAGAGATTCTCGAGGCCAAGAAGGAGGCATTGTAAATTCCAGTGGGTCTCGTGAAACGGAATTTCTATTAGCGTCTACGAGAAATAGAGAATGGACTTTATAGGGAGACTCGTGCGTTAAACTGTATCGGATCAAAAACTGTTGGATATCGAAATGAGAATTCATTCCTGTTACCAAGTGCCTTTTGCGATCTCTCATAAGAATTATGTATATCCACAGTCAATCGACGTATCAGTTCATTTATTCAATTTAGCAATCCTTGATCGAGACATTTATTCAATCTATACTTTACGATTGACGTAATTATTTATGTATAATACTAAACGAGGAATCACGATATCGGCAAGTAAACCGCAACGTGTTCCAACTTATATTTAGGTACGAGCTAAAGTCGAGTCCCTTCTCGTCCGTGGAGTGATCGGCCATCAGGTCAACGTGCTCTCGGCATGGAACGAGTAGCAGGTATTATCTTAAATCAGCTATATTCGGGCCAGGCTAGTAAGACGAGGAGCGCGGGGACCTACATACCGGGTGTAGCAGAACGTCGATACCCAGAACGCTTAATAAAAATGGTTACTGCATGTAAATTCGTAGTTTACAGTTTTTTTCCTCGCTCCAAGCAAAACAAACACTAAATACCTCAGTCGAGAGCTTTCCATCCTGTTAACCTTGAACTTTAATCGCGCCATTGCAAACTCCCGAAGGTACACTTCGATCGTGGTTCAAAAATAATTCGAAAATTTTCATCGATGTATTATCACTCGTAAGAATCATTGTTTACATTGCATTGCGATAAAATCACTTATTTTTTTCACCATAGTTTGTTCATCCATAAAACGGTACATTCGTTCTAGAAAAGCAGGTTTTAAAGACAATCTGCCAAGACACCATGACTCGTGTGTCTGGCACAAGGCCCAGGGCCGTACCACTGAAATTCTACACCGTAGGACGTACCGACGGCACCAGGAGCGTCCCTGATGATTTTTTCCCAGAAAATATCGTTTCGAAAATAATTGCGACGACATTCAAAGTAAAATATATGTATACCACGTGGAACAAAGCAATATCGGCCCACGAGTTGTCTGTAATTTTATTAAATCTATCCAGTGTCCTAAAATAAAAGAGCAGCTGGTGTAGACATTGTCGTTTACTCACCTGTCTAAAAGGCCAGTCTATGTCGGTATCGTTGAACGGAACATCAACGCCACCTTGGAGCATTACGAAAGCACCCTTCGTAGGTACATCGGAATTTTTCCTAAGACGGTTTAACAGACGTTCACGATTCCCTTGAAAAAGCGTCATGGGGACCCTCAGGGTGTGCTCGCCTCTTACGTAACAGGGCTCCATGGGATTTCTGAAACGAAGCATTGTGAATTTAACTTAAAGTCTCACTACATGTTTTACATACATATACCTATACGTACATCTGTATCGTTCTGCCTACGTTCTTTGTGACGTGGAGGCCTCTTGTTCGAACCGAGCATAAGTTTAACGGCAGCTGAGTTATACTACACTTACTTCGCTTTGACAATAGTGTCGTAAGCGCACAGCCGATTGCATTTCTTTTAAATAGAACAGTTATGCGTGAAGCCATTATCAAATATCTTTAAGAGACGATGGAGCTTGAAATTTATGAAAGAAATTTTTAACACGACACTTGGGTTTTGATATTATATTCACCTTGACATAAACAGGGTCATTTACATCAAACATAACTACTCGGTTCAAATATGTCATCAGCTATCTACTAATATTATTAAATAAGTAAGTTACGCCTCTTATGATTATATAATCTTGCCAAATGATGCTCGAATGAAGTTGACTATCTTATACTTGTGAAATTTCACTGTTGATACGTACGAATCTCGATATTTATTTTGAAGACTGGATTGAACTGACATACTTTGTATCTATATTAGTTGAGGTTACCGGTGCCTTTTGAATATCGCTTCTGATCCTTTACTATTATTTCTTACGCTTTAACTGTTCTATGAATCCACGTCGGTAAAACAGTTTTGGAATAAGCTTTTTAGGTAAAAGATTCTCGCCTTCCTAATACGGTATAGCTGAACTGGCTCGTTAGACGAGGGGCTATGGATATGACGGACGGATGTATACGAGTGCACGTATGGAGAAATGAGAACGTTTCGGAGAAATGAAATTATATTTGAGAGGTACGTAAATAGATTGGAACATATGTACATGAAATGAAATAGGAATGCTCGTGTCCACGAACGTATTCGGTTATATTTAAGTCGTGTCATTAGTCTTCTGACGCTTGGAACTGACACAATTCTCCTTCTAGTATTCTTAAAATAGGTGATTCGTCTACGCCATTGTTAAATGGTATAAAGTCTCACCTGTGGGTCACGGATTTTCACCGTTTATTTACGATAACGTCATTCGGCAGACATGAGAAATGCCGTCTGGTTCCGGCAAAGTGGTGGATCGAATTTCTTCAAAAACAAAGCAACATAAATTACTGTAAATAGGAATTGGTTCTAACTGTCGTAGTGGAATTTATTATTTTTTATTAGTAAAATAACATCTATGGCCGTAACTATATATTTTTTTAGGCTTTAGCTTTCACGTTTGCAATTCTGCGCATTTACAGAGTATATCGTATTCGAATACATCGTGACGTAATCTCGAACCATAAACTCGTCAAGGACGAAACAAATTCGTACTCGAAAAAAATACGTAGAAAAGCATAATTTAAGGTAGTTGGATCATGAGGACCCTTCCAAGATATGGTTTTAAATTTTATATATGTTCGAGGCAAAATTTATGAAATTATCTAAACAATGTGTGATACGAAAATTTTGTAACCGGTGGATTTATCCATTTGCTTGTTTTGAAAAATAATACCTCAAGTGATACATATTTTTTTTATAAATGATATATAGGGTATTCACCGAAATAAGAAAACTGTATTATTATGATACTAGGGAAATCATCTTAAAATACCAACTGGAAATTCTTCAACTACGTCGTCGCGTTCTTGAAATTTCAAGAAGTTGGGTTTTCGAAATTCCTCGATGGTCAGAATAAATATTCCATTTATTTTCTTCGACGTACCTATCTTCGGGGTCTCTACATTCGGATTATTAGCAAGTCCTGAAATACCTGTTTATGGGCTTTTCCTATTTACAGAGTCTTTCTTTGAAAAAAAAAGAGAGAACCTTCGGTTCGGTTTGTGTTTCTAACAATAACTTTGGAATTTAGCTTGGCTGCCTGCGGGATTGTTTCTTCATTTTTTCATAGAATCTTTCCACTTCGACAACGTAACGTACCAAAGAAAAATTGCATTGGCCAATAGTCAGACTTTCTTGAAGATTTTGCCATCCCTTTATTCTTCAGACTTTCCTCCTTTACAGAAAATCCTACTCGAACTTTGATTCCAGTAAAGCTTCTTATCTTATATTACAATGGAGATAGATGCTCTATCTGCTGTCAGCGTTATCATCGGATCGTCCAATAAATATTAAATCCTCACTGATGATATTTGTTATAACGACACCTGACTTTAGCTGTTTCTTGCGATAGATCGGCATTGCAATCTCCGTTGTAAGAAAATACTCAAACTTTTTTTATACTCCGTTGCTAATACATAGATACAAATATAGAAAAGTCACGTGACATACTTTAGTTTTTTTTTGACTTCCTCCCTGCCCTCTTAAAACACGATCTCTGCGCGTGAGTAACATTGTTTGATTCAAATGTCAAGAATGAATTCAACGCTGTATGGAAAAGACACGTGGACGATAACCTGTATCAATATTTGAAGTGCGATCTATGCCGATAATGATGTTGATTGTCAGTGATCGACTGCTGGTTATTTATCCAAAATATTCCATTGAGATGTGTTATTTCAGTTAGCGATAGAATTGACATATGGAGGTGAAGGTTTTGAATTTTGAATAATAATGAAAAAATAATAATAATAATTCAGGCCAAAATTGTTATTGTGGAGGAGTGGAGGAGGCAGGGAAGAAAGAAGGGACTTTCGTAATAGCAGCAATCATACAGCGAAGAGTTGTAATCCGACTGGCATGGATGTACCCTGTGCTAACGAAACACCTGGTAAAAATAATACTCTCAGATTTGAAAAGTTGCCAGTACTGGCTCTAAGAACAATTTCAAAGTATTCGAATGAATTTTGAATTTATCGTGAATCAGCATAATCTTAAATTCCGTTTACGTAGTGTTTGTTAGGATTGTCAATACCGACGGTCTGAGCTCAATGTACTGCAATAAAGTTGCTATTGCACAATTGGAGGGTCATCGAGTACGGCTTTCACAAACAACATAGCAATCACTTTGTATCTTTTTGTTTCTAGAATTACCGCCGACGTCAACATCGCTTAAGACAAAGAGACGCGTTCATAAAAGAGACGGCTCGTGAGTGTTGCGCACGTTAGGAAAGTTACCAAATGAATTCGAATAACCTGACAGTAACAAAAGTAAACACAGTGTTTAGTCTCGTTGGCTTTAAAGCTTTCGTATTAGTAAAGAGAAACAGATAGAGCGAGCGAAAGAAAAAATTCCTATTGATCGAGCGTGAGCATCAAGGCGTACTGGTCGTAGAAAATAGAAGCGGGTACGTCAGTAGGTAACCTAAAATTCCACGATTACGCAGTATAACGATTCTATTAAAAGAAAACTTTAAAAAGGGGTTAGAACCGGTATCAGACCATGGCCATCGACCGTATTGCCCTCTTGTTCTGTCGTTATACAAAAATTTTAAGTTAGCCAAGCGTGTATGTCATCATTCCTATAACCTCAAAAAGCAAAGCAGGACAAACATTTGCTTGTATCACGAAACTGAGCCTCCGTTGCAAACGTCTTGCTACTAATTATGCAAATAATATCCTGTACGATTTACCAGTATATATATATATGTATATTTCATATATGTATATTTCCAACTGTCACTACAGGAAGGATATGCTCTTGCAAATGGTGGTCTGACCTGAGTTTCTCACTGAGCCGTCACTAAGAGAATGTTCGTTACGATCAACAAGGAAGCACGTGACACAATATAACGAAGCACGAAAGACGGTGTACAATGAAAGCAACGAGACTTTTCGAAAAACACCAAGAAAACAATTGTGAGAATTATATGAATATACGTGTCACAAAAGATTCTCCCGAGGTTGTCAAAACACTGCATATCTGACACTTCGGCGATGTCGGCAAGGCTGGGATTCTCAGCTCTGCGTCTTGTTCGATTCATGGCAAAGAGGCAATATGAAGAGAGACCTACTTTTTAAGGGCAACGACTTGAAGTAGGACATAAATACATACGTGTTTACGAGCTGAGATTCGGCCATGTTGATCCGCTTCGTCTGGTTAGAGTCTGCGTGCTGAAACGACGATGGTAGCAGTGTGGACTGAAGCTAATACTTCCAACAAGTTCTCGCTGCTTTCACGACTCAGCCGGTGTGCTATCGACAATACAGACATACTACAAATACTTCAGTATATATGAACGTAAAGGCCAGCGCATATAAAGAGGTTTGTTTATTATCTCTTATCAGTAACACAATAAAGTCTCACATTTTTGACAATACACGCTTTCACGAATACAATAATATACTTACCGATAGGATGTATGTATGTACAATCTATGGTAGTCCTCCTGGGTCACGTGAGAATCTCACCGAACGCACTTCGTTTGCCAACGATGTCTGTATTGTTTCAATGCAACTGGGCCGACATATTCTATATACTGGTTTGTGTCTGTGTCAATTTATGAACAAGGCCGTTTAATCGTGTTTCTACTTAAGTTTACACAGTAAGCTGTAACAGAATGTCCTGAGTATTATGTATATAACTTGGAGTTATCAGAAATCAATTTTTCTATACTTATTTTTATTTTGACGCTCTGGTATATAGCTAATAGACATAAACAATATAGCAATATACTGTACTATGCCCTTTTATGTCATAGATACTTATGTATAGCTTGCGAGATAAAGCATCTTTGATGGATACATTGTAATCATCACTTGTAAGTACTAGAAACTATTTACAATATTTTACTTGATAATCTAATTTAATAGATTACAAGTATTGACGACAGACGTTCATTTTATGTCTATAGACAATATCAATCTTTCACAGCTCACAATGATAATCCGAAATGACACAAAAACTGTAATGACATGTTTCTGATAAATAATCTCATCGATCGTACATACAACTCGAAAATTTTATTTGACATTTGAGATATATCTACAAGATTTTTTTTGTATTTTCATTATACTGACGTGCAACATTTTCCAATGTATAGGCAATGTTTTGTCTTCCACGAACCAATACGTGAAACATTAGTCATTATGATACTCGAGTATCGAAGAGAACATATGACATCTATACTGTCCTACTTGAATGCTGAATCATCTTCGACATACGGATACACGATTCCGTATAACCCGCGAAGTCTCTTTCACTCGACAACATGATTTTCTGGGAAAACGGTCACCGTTCAAAATCCCCAAGAGGCCGAGACTGGCACCAGCATTCGTTTGCTAACGTAAGAAAGAATATAATTGTACAATAATAATAAAAAAAGCAGTTGCTCTGCTACAACTAGAAATCCTCGTACTTACCTCATATGAAGTTGACACACGAACGTGAAGCGCCGGTTTGTGTCCTCGGTGCATCCGTGTGCCATAGAAAAAACAGTCGTGTGACTAACATTAATATAAATGAGAGCGGACAGGAATTCAATTGAAAAATTAATATCGAACATAAGTGCTCGATCAGCGCGTACGCTCTATAGTAATATAATTCAATGCGAATGAAGCAGAGCGCAAACTGTATTAACACGCGTGTTCCGCCGAAGGACGAATCGTTCAAATCTAGTGTAAGATTAGTATCTACGTAAAATACTGCGAAATATTTTGTGAGTGGTTTCGGAAATAACATTGCTGCATGAGTAATGCTTGGTGAGTCTGACAGAGCAATGTTTAATTAATGATTACACGCATTATTTTACAGTGAAACGGAATGATTTTATCCATTAAATCCACTTCGAGAGCATTTCAATTGGACGTTGCTTTTTACTAGACTCCATGACGCCTGGGGAAGTTCGATAATTTTACTTGGCGTTGTATTACTTTTAGGATATTCGTGAAAGTGGTTAGTTTTAAAATTACGAGAGAGGAAGAGAAAGAGATTGAGACCCTGAGTAAATTGATGTTGAAACCCCTACCTTTCTGTTCAGTGCCCCCCAGTTCCAGTCCAAGGGCGTAGGACAAAGGGACATGAGATATTGAACGCTACCTTATTTAGCTCCGCTTACAGAGTGAATTGCGAGACTAAATGATATCAATAACATTCACTGTAATTGGCAATTGTAGTTGTGCGTTCTGTAACGCATTATCAATATGATAATGCTAATTAAGTTCATTAAGGTATGTCAAATTAACCACAGGTATTGGAATATTAGTACAGATGTTATCAGTAGACAGGTAGGCTGGTTAATATCGATTATGTGTGTTGTTGATAGACAAAACTAAGTTCCCCCATTGTGAAAGATAATTACTGAGCTGTATTATTTTTATTACCACGCGAATGCGCTTCATCGAAAGAAAACAATCGTTACGTACATATATAAAAACTAATGGCCAATAGAAGGTACTGAAATTCCCTTAGGGCAAACGTGCTGTGAGGTTTGTTGTCAAAGAGCAGAGAAACCATCACAATATTTGTGTGGTGCTGTAGAGAATTTAGATAGCGCGGAGTAGGGTGGGAGAAACTTGGAGAGAAGGGAGTGAATGGAAAATTTTCATGATGGCACCAAATGAATAACGGACGGCACACGTGTTTGCATTGAAACTTGTAATTTTTTTTTATTTTTATTTAGACTTGCCGGACGGTCATGTCCGACGATCACAACGAGATATATTTTTCCTTAATTCTTGTATAACGAGTAACTAAAAAAAAAACACTCCTTCCTTATACAAAAAAAATATGAATCGAACCATGCATTCATAGGAGTTGAACGCATACATTCGCAAAAGTCAAAAATCATATACCTTCTTTCTCTCACAGCATTCGCATAGGTACACAATACCAATTACACTAAATTGGACGCTTTTCGACACTGACGCAATACAGTGAACAGTGTGAAATCGCAATCAATGTCGCTATAAATATTGATTATTGCGCCAGTATTTATCGAATGTTGTATTTCGCCGTTGTCCTCATTTTATCGGAAATGAATCACTCGTCTCTACCTACATGATAGTTATTTCCTTGACTAAACTTGCACGCTCGCGTACACAGTATATTACAAGTAAATAGAATGTTATTACATCAACGTATTTAGTGATTAAGAATGATAAATAACTATGCACTAAAACATGCACAGAAAAATGTAAAGCTATATCATTACAGGCCCTCACTTCTATTTTGTTCTCTCTTTTCATAAACACACACGTACATTCTCTCTCTTTCATACTCTCTTACTCTCCTATCTTTGCTTTCGAGCATGTTCTAGTATTTTTTGAAATTTTTTTATCATAATACTCCATGTTGGGCGATTTGCTCGAACGCATCAGAGGACTTGTACACAGTCAGAAAGCCTAAATCCGAGGACTAACTTAATTCACGATATCTCTTGGCAATCAGTGTATGCCATTAGCGTCGAATTTGACAAATAAATGAGATCATCGTTTTTCTTGCTACAAATAGGTAGCTTACAAAGGCATAATATCGTTGATCGATTGATGATTGATGCGGAATACACAACAAAAACACGTCGAAGAAGAACAGGAGCAGATTTCTCATTACTTCTCTAGGCTCTCAATAAAGACTATGTACCTTACTGATATCTCTGTTCGATATTTTTAAAAATAATAATTGCTAGAAGGAAGGTCGACGTGCGACCAAAGTAGAGTCGTGCTTCGTGCTTAACGCGCTTTACAATATCATTCACGTTAAATATAACGCGAATATGTGCGTGCGCATTGGTCGATATCAACTTGACGATTTTTTGGAAAGCTAAAAAGTTTTTTCTGAGAAAACGGGAGAACCCCTTGATACCGTCGAGGCCGTTCGAACGACAACAATGATCATTGATTTGTCATTGGTTCACCGAATGGTGTCGAGTAATCGGGTTGGGTGCACGTCGGCCATAAGTCTTCCACGTAGCCTCATAGTCGTCGATACGCCAACGATCTTGGCCGAACGTTCACGAAGCGAGACTGCTTCAAATAACAACACTCCATATTTACAAACACGACCATGTAAGGCAAGTTCCTGCCTAATTACGTTCCCCGATGTCCAAGCGCGCCCTAGAGCACATATGGGAACACGAAATCCTAACGGAATCCTTCCGACATTTTACAGAAATTTTGCATTAAACCAAAAATCGAGCAACGATCACAGTAAACACAGTCGAGGGCTGTCGTCACTCGTGTTCCGTTTACACGTTATCTTTCGATTCACCTCACAGTTCGAGCGGCTGAAATACAGGAGGTAAAGGCTCATCCTCAGAATCATAAAAATACGGTTTTCTTCGATAAACCGAGCTGGACTCGTCCTCTTCTTCAGATGTTTCAAGTTCATCAAGATTCGCTTGAAGTCTCTTCACAGCCTCTTTTATCAGTCCACCTTCTCGTAATAATTCTTGTAGAAGTTCATAAGGATCGTCCTCTTCCCTGGCATTCGATCTCTTGTGATGATGACGATGATCGTGTGAGCTATTATTTCTCACACCACAGATCTCGCAGTTGGTAGGATCAGCCCAGGATCGTGACGGTATCCGGTAGGGCGACGGCCGACTCTTATGAGTAACGCTCGACTTGGCCTTGAATCCTGATAATCTTAAATTCTCTTTTATCTGTGATACAAGTATATCAACGTCTCGCGTTAGGAAGTCATGCGTCGTGTCCGGCATTACTTCAATTAAATATGTCGTTTCCTCGGCACTCGGCATCTTTTCCGTTCTACTTGCCTTCAGTGTAATATCAGCTCTTCTACCAGACAAAGTCCCAGCAGGTGTGTTTACCTGCTGACTCTCCTTCGCGTAAAATCCAACTGGCTTCTCAACAGCAACGCAACACGACGGCTCGACCAGGGTTCGATCACAAGCCGTTTGTTATCTTCAAAGCTTCCTCGAATTAGTGAAACCAACGAATATCGTAAGACTCACAAGCTTCCGTCACTGTTTACGTACGTCCACACCTTGTGTACGTTCTAGCAAACTAGCACGTTGTTCGACTATCCTGATTCTTTGTCGATGATCACGTCAATTATTTATATACAGCCATATATATACACAAGGCTAGATAGAGAGAGCGATGCGTAATCAGTGAACGCGTGATTCACCGGCTGAAGACGCGCGATACTCGCTCTCGAGCGAACGTACACCGACTAAACTCTTTATTTACGAGGTGCCGAGGGACCAACGGAACCTTGGCTGCCTAGCGGAGGAGAACCGAGCCGAACAAGTTGAATGAGCACACTCTTACTCGAGCGGCACGCACTCGATCGCTGTTATTGTTTTGAAATCTTGTTTACTGATAGCTCTCTAAATCGCGACAACGTTTATTTTTATTATTATTAGTTATCTGTCTTTCTCTCTCTCTGTTTCTTTATTTATTTTTTTTTTCACCTACATTCCCTTCCCCAAAACTCTCATCAGATGATTCGTATCGCGAGCAGTCTATTTTACACATTGCACAACACCATCACTCTGAGAACTCTGCCAGTATCTACTGATATGTTTACACAATCTTATATAGGATGAGATTATTGCGAATGTCGAGTAGGTGCGGCGTGTCTGATACCGCCTTCTTGGCTTCTCGTAGTCTTTCTAGCACGGTACGACTTGGAAGACGGGAATCGAGCTAGCGGCTGCCTGTCTGCCTGCCAGCCGTGAACCTTCCTACTCTGTTATTATTGTTTTGGCCGGACGACGCATGCGCAGTGGGCTCTTTCCCATGTAAACAAACCGTTAACTCAAACCCTGGCGAATCGATAATACCGTCCGGTTTCCCTCTTCCGTTCATCTAAAAACGTTCCGCCCACGAACCCCCTGTGAATTGTTTCCACGTATTCCCAGGCATTAGTATTTTCTACAACCCCTACAATTTTCATTAAACTGTCTTCTTGAACTCTTTTATTGTGGATATCAATTGAAAGCACTTAATTGTAAGTAATTTTGAATAGTGGGGATGCGACAGACAGCTGTAAAAGGTAGAGGGGTCTATGGACGTATGGATCAAGGTTACACTAAAGCTTGTGCGTCAACATAATTCTCCATCAAGTTTATCGCGTGGGCGCGACGCGACGCCTCTCTTTCTACAGATCATTCACTACCTTATCTTTGATACATATAACATACATTTTAGTAACTACATGGCGTTGTTTTTTTCTCATATAATTTTTAATTTCGGAAATCAATTCGTTACAAATTTTTGTAGGTTAATTATTCTGCGACTTACCTCATTGGCATAATGATTTCTTGTAATGATTTCTAGGCTACATTGCTCTTATTCTAAGCTTCATTGTTCTTAATGTTATTTCACATATTACTGGATGTAAACAATATATACAATGTAAATATGCAATTGTGCATGTTTATTATGGTTATATAGATTGTTTGCCGCCATCAATATTTGCCATTTTTAGCCGACTGGCTTGGTATAAATATGTAAATTATTATTGAAATTCAAAGGGTCATGACTTTTCTGATATTTTGAAAGCGACAAGTTTTTACACACAAGGTCAAGGACAGTTTACAAAGATTATGCTTTGGAAAAAGAACAGAAAAAAAAAGTATAAAAATATTAATGAGAAATGTGGGTGTAGTACATTTTTATAAACTGCTGACAAAATTAGATTTATCCAGTTTAGCTACTGCCTCATCATAATTTCGCTGTAAACCTTCAGGATCTGCTAAGAATCGCTGCCATAATATCTTCTTCTCTCTCTCCAATCCAGGCGTAATGCGATTTCTCTGTAATTTATATTTATGGTTTAATTAAGCAAAAAGTGAGACATATTTATTTTGCAAACTTACTATGGTGTGTTTCAACTCGTTTCGAATACTTGTCACTTTCTCTTTCATCTCTTGAACAGTATTTGTAACTGTTTCAAGTTCTCGTTTAAGTTCAGAGGACATTGGCTTGAAACTCACGGTTTTCCCATCATTTATCTCAGTGTCATACAATGCCATTACTTTTTCTTCTCTGAAATAAATAATTATTATTTACTAAACCATTGTCATTGGAATAATATAATTGTTGTGACAAGAAAATATCATTTCTCCAGTTTAATAAAATACTTACAATGGTTGCAGACGATCCATTCGAGCATCTATTTCAGGTCCCATGATATTATCAATTATTGCAGTATTTTCTTCCACTAAATCGTTCAAACGTTTTAGTGATACTTTTACAATATTTTCATCACTTTCATGGTTCTCCTTATCTTGCATCATTGACAAAAATATTTTATTGGACCAGTGGCTATCTTTAGGGGGGCCATTAATTATTCGTTGGTATTCCTCTTGCTGTTTTTTCATGCTTTTCTGAAAAGAGTCTTTGATAAAATTAGTGTAATATTACAAATAACAAAATTAGTATTTCTTGGTACTCACACATCTCATCTCAGATAGAGTGTATTCAGTTTCCAGGAAATAGCGAGCATTTGATATGAAGTGTACAACTTCTTGCTCGTGTTGAAGTTGCTTGTACATTAGTATGCATAATAGGTCTGAATATGCGTGGCCTTGGTCACGCGCAAGAGTCAAAATTTCGTCTAGTTTTTGACATCTGTCTTTTCGTCTCTCGAGTATAGCACGTGCATATGAGATTAATACTTCAGTCACCTCTGCTTGTACATATTGCTCTATTAATGGTTCCAACTCATTTGTTAGTATAAGTTCAAAGTTTTCCTCTAGTAAATCTCTTTTTGATCTTAATTCCGTTATCTCAGTTCTAAATACAAAATAAATTATAAATGGTATTCGTTTAAATTCATAGAGAATTAAACATTTTGTATGTATTACTTACTGCAGTTGTGCCAAAGACTGAGGAATCTTCAAATCGCCATTGTTGTATATGTCTATTATAGTTTGCTCCATAGAAGTGCAAGCAGCATCTTCTATTTTGGCCAAAATTTCATCTGTTTTTGCAGTAGCTAACCTAGAATGAAAGCATCAGTATTTTAGGCAAATATTAAAAAATATATTATTCTTGGGCATGGACAATTATGTAGGCTTTTACTCTTTTGTGCTAGTTGCAAACTCCTGAAGCATGTCATCAACCTGAACTTCTTTTAAACCTTCGGAGAAAGTTGCGTAATCTGAATCACTGATTTGTTCATCTTTATCAGTACTGCCAAATTCACTCTTTACATAGGCATGTAAGTAGTTACTGTACATTTCCATTCGTTTGATAAAAATGTTAATAGGCATTTGTTTCCACAGAATAGTAGGTCCTTTCTAGAGAAAATGTTGGATTACTGTTACGACAATTCTATTACACTGGAATATTAAATTTGCATTAAGACATACATCTTCTGCTGCATTGGCATACACCTCAGCAAGTTCTTCAACCTGATTAGAAAACTGCTTGTACAGTGTGTCTAACTCTTCTGTGAGGTTTATACAATCAATGTGTAGTTTGTTCACTGCAATTTCTTCTTTCTTTGCAACAAGCTGTTCTTCTTCTATCTCTGCTTCCAACTTACTTTCACGTTCTCTAAAATAAGATTGCATGATATAATTACTACAGAATTATTAAAACGTTTAAATATTGTGTTAGTTATAAGCTAATAAGCTATTTTAATATACTTTAGGTCCCTTATGCCATCTTTCAAAGTTTGAATATACTCCAAGCTTTCTTCGTATAGTTCCTTTTCCATCTCCAAATCCTTCTGCACTTTCTCAGGATCAGGAGGATTATTAGAAACAAGTTGCATCAATTCAGGACAATCACTTGTTGCTTCTTCAAGGGCGCGATCCAATTCTTCACCTTGTAGCCATTGATTAGTACTTTGCAAATATTTCTGTCTGCATGACAAATGGTAAAAATAGAGTAATTAATCGAATATTCTTTTGTCTTTAATAACAATGTAATATCTACTATAAAATCTAAATTTTTTATATAGAATGCATTTAATATCAAATCCATATATAACAGCTTACATTCGAATTTCTTCGGGAGTTAGAATATTTTCCCGGCTCACATTTTCACAGAACCACTTTAAGAAAGGTTGCAGTGCAGGGTCGTCGTAAATTTTACTCAAACTTTCTGGCGTATGCTTCACAGTCCACTCAGGCAAAACTTCCTTTAGTTTATTATAAAAAGCGTTCTTTGAAATCTCCATTTCTGCAAGAATTGTAATCTTCTGCAGCTGAACATGAATTGTAAGATAATAACGGTTGCGCATGGGCAAACGCATATTTTAGGAGAAAAATAGGTGGCGCTGTCTATACGCGAAGTTCAATGTATCTTGAAAGTCGAGTTGTTGAGTATAAATAACAAAAGACAAGTTTATTTCAAATTTCATCTATTTATTTTATAACTTAAAACAGATTTGTAAAATATTTTATATCTAGGTATAATGATCAACAAAGCTAGAAATTAATTCTCTTATTCAAAAGATATCTCTAAGGACTAGGAATACTTGTATGGATACGTATACCATGCATATCTTTAATTTCTTCCTTAAGTGCCTGAAAAGTAAAGTTATGTATTTATGTGTTACGATACATAGTATAATCTTCTAATTTCATTAATTTATACTCACTTCATTAATAATCCTATGTTGTTTGACTGTATTTAAACCCTTAAATTCAGGGGCCACGACATTCACTTCAAACATTGCTCCACATCCTCCTGAAAAAAATGACTTTCATTATCATACCAATATTACATCTTTTCTTGTAATAGGTATTGTAGAACTCTTGCCTGATACATCGGTAACTTCAATGAATTCAGCTTTTGGGAATTTATTCCGTAATATATTGATCATTTTCTGTTCTGCTTGTTTGCCAGCTAACACTCCACTGGGACCATTCCATAAACGTGATAGTAGCTGGAAAACTTTTGCTTTATACATCTTTTTTATATTAAATTTACCAATTGTAAAAGTATAAGATTGGATGGACGAGAGGAAAGAGTTTTGCAGAATAGAATTATAGACAGGTACATATCTTAATTTCCACACTTAAGAAATTTTAGAGAAACAATACAAGGAAATATAATATTTTTCTCCCTTGCACATGCATGCAACATATCAGCCAGGATATTTTATGAATCCAATCTATAAATGTTACGTTTTGAACAAGCCTCGACCTACCGATATATTACGAAAATTTGTAGTGAACACGTGACGGAACATAGTTGAAGGATATGAGGCAGTTGTCTCTAAAACAATCTGCTTTCAGCTGTTGAAGAAAATGTGTGGATCAATTGTCTTTTGTCTTGAAAATTGTTAAACTTTGTGTTAGAACATGTAGAACAGAGGTTATACCGCAATTTTTTTTCAAATCTGTGTTTAAGTCTTGTAGCCCTGCCCCAGTTTTTCCGTTACCGGGGTTTCGTTTAAAAACTGAAATAGTTCACAACTTGCAGTGATAGAGGAAAGGCCAAAATTTCTATTTAGTCGATCATAGAAAATTGATCCCATTCCTGGAGCACAGTTAATAGTATCAATTTATGCTGCTTCCCGCGCATGTGTTCTAAAGTGCATGATTCTTGATTGGCTTATTGTAACGTAATTTTCACTTACCACGCCCCACAATGCTTTTAGCCAATCATCCTTCACCTATCTTGAAACATGTGCTACTAAATATAAATTAGCATTAATATATGGCAAGAGTAGATAAACAATTTACCATAGCAATTTAAAATTGTTGGCACTTTCAAACTATTATATAATTATGCAGGAGTGGTGAAACTGTATTTAATTTGTAATATATTTTTATTTTTATAACCAGCCAATGCATAAAATGCCAATAAACATTAATTGCGAACTGCACAATGCTTTATAACCATCCAATGACTGCGATAGCCTGCAAGAATTGAATAAATATACATACAAAGTATGCTTTTTTATGAACTCAAATTATTGGTCCTTTCACAAATTTTGATTCTTGCGTCTGACGCTCGAAAATTTTTCCATCTATTTTTATTACGTCTTCACAAAGCAAACATTGATCTCTGATCCATGCAGTGACGCGCGTGCGATAGCTCCAGCTAGATTGTAATTGATGCGCTATATTTAGCGTTTCTTGTAATACTGCTTAATTAAGCTTGATCGCTGATTCAAGAAGTTGGTTAGTCGGAAGTGTCACGTTTAGAGATCATAACTGTTGAGGTATTATCAACGATGAACTATTTAGAAAGTGGAGAGGAACGCTTAATCCACAATGATACCATTTTTTCAACAGCGCCAAGTGCATCTGCTGTAAGTGAGACTCGTAGAGGTAAGAATTATATTCATGAATTTCAAACTAATTACCATATTACATCTTTAGAAATTAGGAATATTATATAGATTAGCAAGGTTTGGTGAGAGACTGCATAAAGAATATGTTTCAGGATCTGGTGTATTGGGAATCATTTTCTTAATGGTCAATGCAACACTAGGCGCTGGTCTGTTGAACTTTCCACAAGCTTTTGATAAAGCTGGAGGAGTAGGAACAGCAATAATAGGTCAACTGGGTTTTCTCATTATGATAACAGCTGCTCTCGTCATCTTAGCACATTGCAGTGACGTTACTAATACATCTTCTATGCAAAACACTTTTGCTGGATTGTGCGGTTCTAAATCAATATTTGTTTGTGGGATTTGTGTAGCTGTATATAGCTTTGGATGCTGTGTAACATTTTTAATTATAATTGGTGATCAGTTTGATAGAGTGTTAGCTACATTCTATGGACCTAGTTTCTGCCACAACTGGTAAGAGTACTTTTCAAATGTAATATTATCTTAGTGCTTCGTGTATGCTTAGTAAAACACACATTTATTTTCTTATTATCTATTTGCAGGTATTTATCTAGACCGTTCATTACAACATTGACCTGCAGCATTTTTATATTACCCTTATCTTTCGTTAAACGTTTGGATGTATTGAGGTATACCAGTTCCATTGGATGTATTACAATTATTTATGTTATATGGTTAATAATTTATGAGAGTATCACCGACACTGGAATATCTTTGAAACCCATGCAAATATGGCCTGATAACTGGATGCAAACGCTTCAGATAATACCAATTATATGTTTTGCTTATCAAAGTCACATGACTGTGATACCAACATATGCTTGCATGAAAGATCGTAATCTTGACAAATTTACTTTTTGTGCCGTTATTAGTATGATTATTTGTTTTCTGGCATATACTATAGTCGGTATAATTGGATACGGAACATTTGGTATCGGTCGCGTTCCTAGTGATATTTTACAAGGATATACAGATAAAAGTATCTTTCTGACAATTGCGATAATTTCGATAGCTATAAAAAATTTCACCACCTATCCGATTGTATTATTTTGTGGACGCGATGCATTACTTTCTCTCTTTGGTAGAGATACCGATAATGGACTTGTCACTAGAGTCTTCGTTACATTAATATGGTTCACATTATCCCTTATCATTGCTATTTTAGTACCAGACATTTCGTCGGTAATCAATCTCCTAGGTTCCTTGTCAGCAGCATTTATTTTCTTATTTCCAGGCATTTGCCTTCTTCAAAGCACGTTATTAAAGGATCCAAATTTATGCCTGAATAAGGATAAGATTATAATAATTATCGCCATATTTATCACTGCTCTTGGTGCATTCGTTGCTGGTGTTGTATTCGTAGAGGCACTTCAGGATCTGAGTAAAGAGTCTATTAAACCACCATTGGTTACTGGCTTCACAGCAAGACTCAGAGATAACTTGTGCGTTTAAAATTCAATAATTTTTCTTCATGACGCATACGAACTATTAACATTGATAGTCTTATACTTCATAATGAGTGCTTTAATATTTGTTCAATATGTTTCGTTAACAATATATAATGGATTATTGTACGGCTTTGTAGTTCTGTATATTGCTCAATAATGTTTTAATGTTTGATAATTTTTATTGCAAGTCTTCGATCGACTTTGAGAAAGTAAGACTCAACGAAAGACTGACGTGATTATTGTAATATAAGCGGAAAAAGAAATGTACATAGATATAATTGTATAAGACGAAGTGTAACAATGACTAGAATTTTTATACCAAATTTTATGAGATCTCGTATTTTAACTTTGTTAACAATTTATCTCAGTAATGTTAATAACTAATAAAAAAAATTGCCTTGATTCTTATCCTTGGGAGTTTGTTTTAATTACCTAATATTTTTTACAAGCAAGGAACTTGATCGATCTGCAAACCGTCCAAAAGATCCAAATCTGCAGCGATCAATAATGGTTTGATTAAAATTTCTTCTTTTAGTTCCCCCGTTAAATACGATTTTCAATAATGACGTAAACGTCTTACTTTCATTGAATCATGAAGGTGACGTTGCATTCTCAGCAATATAGTTAGTAAGAAAGTCATGTAAGGTTGTACCTTCAGCGTCAACAACCTTATGAATGGTGGCTTTGCAGAAAAAGCATTCTCTACTATTAGAGAGATGACGGTCTATACATGTCCGGCATGATCGATGATTACACGGTTTAAAAGTCGCAGCAATTGGATGCGCGTAGCAAATTGTACAAATATTCTCATCGTCGCTCATGTACTTAGAATCGGGTAACATTGTACGATGCAGATCTAAGTATTTAATCATTTCTCTCACCTTATTAATTTCATACTCTGTTATATCTTCTTTATCTGTAAATATATAATAGACACGTATAAGATTTTATACAGGTAAAATCTGACAAAATGATACTTACAATTAAAGAATGAGAATGGTTTGCTGTTTTTAATTGGAATATTCGATGGTTTTACTTCTCCGAGTACAAATGAGATTGAACTTATTTGAAAGCTTGGTTCCGTTAACAGAACTTTGGTTACTTTTGGCACATCTTTTGATCCTCCCACTGTAGAGAGAATTATTAATGATCTTTATTCTGTGATTTAATTCAACATTGCTGTAATTTTATACTTACATTTGTATATGCGCATTTCCTCTTGAAGCAGAGCTAATAAAATTCCAATTACAGCTGCTAGGATTGGGAAATGATCTATTGTCTCCAGGTCGGGTATATCCAATAGTACTACGTACTGGAAGCATCCCGTCTGGGAACTTATTCTGTTCAGAATTTGACATAGTAACTGTAAACGAGATAGTACGTGATCTTTAATATTGATCTATGTATCACTTTGAATATTGTTCTTTCTTTGAGATAAATAAGGTACCTCGCAAAGTCGACTCAATAAATTTTCACTGGAAGGCCGTAAAGGATCACTAAAAATCTCATTAGCGATAGTAGCAATCATTTCCAATACTCTGAGTAAAGATATAGTCAAATCAAAACATGTTGCTCCAATTTTGAGTTGTCTTGATTCAATAAAAACTCTTTCAGGTCTTGATGACATATTTTGAATTTCTTGGAGCATCCGAATAAATTCTGAGAATGTCCAGTTAAGCTGATTGAGCAAAGAATTTAAGAATTGCTTGGTTCCTTGAGGATTACTTAGCAAAGCGTCTTTCACGTGTGCCTGATATTTTACGGACGGACATGGTTCTGTAAATAAGAAAAAGAATCATAAAAATTATTTAATAAAAAATCTATTATGTTAACGACCATACGTACTTATAGGTTGGGATATTGATTCTTGCTGCAACATCTTTGGTCCAATCTTTTTCGCTAGATGTGGGCTTTTCTCGTATCGAAAACCAAATCCATTTCCTTGCCAAAATCTCACCAATACCCAATTCGATTGCGCCCACGCTCTATTTTCGTAAGATCTCAATAAATTTGTTACTACTTTCATTCTAGATTCTCCAGGTACATTTTCAAGTGCCGCCAGGGTGAGAGAATTCGATACAAATCCTGCCAATGTCAAAATCAAAGTGTCTCTAGCATTGGCGTGTATTATTCTTGGATCAAAGAAATGGTCGCAAAGAAATTGCGCAACGTCACAGAGCATATCTTCATATCCTGATATCCTCTCAATGGGCACTGTAGGATGAACGTGATTCCTTATGGCCACACTTAGGTCTGTCATAGCTTCCAGATAGAAATCAGGTACAAAGGTAAACATGTTAGCATCCTGACTAGCAGAATGTAACGTTAACGTAACGACCCTAAGGAGCCAGGCAAGCTGCGCTTGTTTCTCATCTGAATATACAGCAGCACGGATCCAGGCCATGTATCTAGCTTGTTCAGATAATTTAATATTAAACACACTGATGGTTCGACCCAATTCTTCCTGAATTGGTAAAGCCTCAGGATCTTTAGATTTTTTCGCTTGCTCCCATCTTACTTTCACATCATTCATAGCAGCCATGTACTCGGACATACTATCTCTGAGACTGGCGACCTTTGCCAACTGTTTCTTAGCAGTAGCATGGTAGAAGAGAATTATTCCATCCAGCATTTCCAGTAATGATATTGCAGCATCCGCTGGACCGTTTCTCATTGGACTTCTATCTTCTCTATTGAACGGAAAGTATCCAAGTCTTTCCAATATCAGTGGACCTGCAGGACTTGATGGATTGACGTTTACCATCCTTGCAAATGCTGGGATAACTACAGGTAGGTCTCCAAGCCTTGTTGGTCCTCCCATGAAAGTACTTGTTGTGTCTTGTGCCTGGTCCATTGCGACGATGACATCGTGCTCTGGACCTAATAGGTGTATCAGTTCGTTCCTGTAGGTCTTGTTTAAGTGGGATAACACTCCGCCCAGTCTGTCGATTCCGGAGTAATTGATGGATGCATCATAGAACGCCCTGCCCATTCCAATTTATAAGGAAACGCTATTACGTAAATTAAACAAAATTGAATTACCCTAATGAGTAATCTACAGCATCTTACTGTCTGTCGCGATAAAATTGAAATTTATTTATAATTCGTATCTGATCTTTATGTACGTTTGAAAAGTTCTTATTACGTTTTGTAATACGTATTTCGTCACCTGCAGGGTACGTAGACAGGACTGGTCCCGACCTCAGCATCCCACAGGACCCGAAAGGCAACGAGCAATCGATGGAAGCAGCACAGCGTGATTGGCAATGGTGTCTGGAGTATCGGCATTGTCTGCAGGAATTCCGACTGAATGCTTGGGATTATACGCAGTTTCATTTAAAGCCTGCTAACTCCAATGGCTACTATTACTTACGCGATTCGATATCAAGTTCTCTTGGACGAATCTTCTGAATTTCTTCAGGAAAATTGTTCTGGATGTTGGTGTCTTCTCAGTGCCATCCTTATTATCCAGTAAAGTCACGATCAGCTCCACTTGCAAGGCCTCAATCTCTAAAATATTTAAACTCCTAATTATTTGGATACCCTATTTTTTATATTTCATTCTGTAATCTTATTATTCATACCAGTTATTGCAGACTTTATTCGTTCACAGGTATCCATGTATGCTTGCTTATTGACTTCTACACTCGGATCTACCGGATCGGTTTCCCACCAGGTTTTGTTAACTATATCTGCCAAACCACCTTCATCCAATGGTTTAATGTGGACGAAATTTGCAAGTCGAACTTTATCGAATAGAATATATTTGAGCATATTCTGTCTAGTGGCTGTATGTTGGCAAAGGTTTATCAGCAGAATGAGACTTTTACTTTGATCTGGATATTCAAGCAGCAGAGAAACATGTCTAAACGCAGATAGCAAATAGACAACCGCACTATCGAAGCAAGCCTTTATCTCGTGTTCTTCTAAGAAGGTCCACAGAAGATCCAAGCAAGTTATCAACTTGGAATTGTTTTGCGGTCTATCGGATCCAGAATTCGAGAGTCTCTCGACGAAAGGAATGAAAATCGCTTCGGTAATGTAAGGCATCGCGAGCAAAGGTCCAATATGTTGTAAAACAGATCTGGCTAGGCACATGAGGAAAGCTTGATTGCTCATAGATTTCTCTTCCATCTCTTCATTATTCTCGTTACTCTTGTTCTCTTCAATCAGCGGTATCAGGTTAAAAAACCATTCAAACAAGAGTTTAGCTTTCTTTAATTCCAACGTTGGTGGAGCTTGAAGTGTCTGATATTCTTTTACTGGATACCGCAATGGCGTCGAGCCAAAATTAGCTGTAAGATTTTCAGTATAAGCTAAACTGACTGTTGGGAAATACGCGATACCCGCGCCCATTGTTATATTTTCAAAAGCCGTTCCTAATGATCGTCCGTTTCTGTAAAACTCAATTTTCCCATTATCTACATCCAAGGCACATCCTATGATATCTCCAGAGAGCCAAGGTTCGCCATATTTATGGGTGGTAACGTTCCATTTCCTTATACGATTTCCATCGTACGCGTATGAATTCACCGTGTCCCCTATTGAACAATATATATATAAATTATTCATGCAAAGAAAATTTAAAATAATTATACATCATTAAACGTACCGACTCCGGATTCTTGATTGAATTCACATTTTATAGTTCCCCATCCAACTTGCATTACACCTTTTGAACCCAACTGTAATTCGTAGATCCATTTTCCCCTGTACAATCCTGTATTCGCTCTCATAGTACTAAAATTGCTCTGAGAACTGATACTTAGTCTGTCCGGCGATACAATAAATAGACCATGATGAGTAGAAATGTCAAATCTCACGATTTTGGGCCCAATTCTTCCATCCTGTGAATCTGCCGTGTCGGAATTCTCATTATCCTTACGAAGTACATTCTTGATGTAATTATTAGCCAGGATCAGACAGTAGGATTGTCTAAAAACATTGAAATCATACCCTATTACCATAATTATCCTTAAATATATGAATACAAGATTCACTAAGTGTTACCTTTCATATAAACTTTTCTTTTCAATGTCTGAACTGCTAGAAGTATCTTGTTGGACTAGGACATTAGGTCCAAAAATGTTACGAAGTATTTCCTCTGGTTCCATCTTTTAAAAAAATGACCTTGAGACACTAACCAATATCTTTTCGTCCATTCAAGGAAAATTGTCAAGCAGCCGCAGTATATGACTATTAAAAAAAATTCTAAAGAAACTAAAAACAATTATTATTTTACGTCTCTCCTTATTCTTTTCTTCAATTACTCACTATCTTATTCGTGCGATAATCTAGCTTCGTTACATCGGACAGAAACTTTCAGGTTAAATCCAAAAAGACATCTTTTTCATCGCCATAGATTTCTGCTAGGTGCACGTCATGACACAAAAGTATTTCGTGAAATTCTCGACACGAGTGACGAGCATGTAGAACCGAGGCACGAGGCTTAAGAATTTTGTGAATTTTGTATTTTATTTCAAAATGAGCGTGTTACGTAGCTCGTGATGGATACAGTCACCATCTTTGTACGAGGAACAAAATAATATCGACGAGAACGAATCATGCGCGGATTGCGTGATCCTTGAAAGCGACACGAGCGCTTCGTGCCAAATAATCAGTATTACTCATGTTTCTCGGTGCTAGACTTCATTTTCATATATCATTGTATCCCACATATCCCACATACGTCTCGATTGAAACGATAGTCAGAAATAAGTCGAAATTTTTATTGAGGTCGGTTGTCTGTTAAATCTCGGTATTATAAATCTTAATTGATCACACATGCTTTCTGCATTGAAGACAAAAACGACGTTTTGATTATTAATCTATCCGACAATCATTCCGTGTTCCAGAGAGGATGTTAAGGCAACGCGTTTATTTATCAAATAGACTAAAGATGACTGATATCCTGTCTGGTAAACGCGAATGAATTATGCATGCGGAATATCATTTGTCTCCTGAATGAATGTCTGACTTTCTGTGTGTAGAAATAGTAGTAGAGCGATTATAGTTTTATTATAATTATTCCCAGGAATAAATTTTGAATTAGAAAAGTGCTCGATACTGTCGTCAAACGTGTCAATGACGTATCATTATTCAATTTATTGCTTGATCATTTTTGTACGACCATCGCTTAAGTGGGGCTCGTACTCCTCGCACGTGTTCTCCATATACGTAGGATGATATACGTGACACTTTTGTCGTAGTAAAAATAATTAAAAACGGAATTGGATACAAGGAAAAAGTATTTGTACAGCATAGTCAGAAGGACAGCATTAAATACTAATATAATGACTGGGTATACATTAATGAATATCGAAATTATTTGAATAATTATACAGCCTGTACGTATTTCGTTTATTATTATCGTTAACGTCATTAGCCTTAATGCGGTTACTGTTGATTAGACTTCCTTACTTTCTTAAAATCACCAATACGATATATATATAGCAACTATATTTAAATTACAATTAATTTAATTAAAAAGTAACATTTTCAATATGTCGCACGTAGAAAATTACTATACAGAGAGAATTTACCGAGTACATTATAATGGGATAAACAATGTTAAAAACAGAAATTCGTTTGTTGCTTGAAAAATATTTTACATATCGGAAGAGGGAGGGAGCTGTTAGTAATAGCTTTGGTATTTCATATTGCGGTGGGTTCACGGTATCTGCAATGTTATTTGTATTATTTATTGTATTATCAGTAAATAAACTAGATAATGCAATGCAATATAATTATCATAGCTGTAAGGTAGCTAGCCACCCTGGACCGTATAATTGAGTTAATTTACTTGATCGATCGATCGATCAATACAATTTTTCAAGAATATATGCATGTAATGGTTTTGCTTATTTATGGATGTACGTACGTTTGCATGCTATTCAATTATTATGAGTATAATTGTCATTTATCAGGATTATAGCAAAAAGGCATGATTACACTGAGAAGTTTTATAACGATCTCTTCTTTCTTTATGTACTTTTAATCTCGCCTATTGGAAATCATTCGGACATTTATGCCTTACGGCTATCGATATCGATCAGTTAAATACTCATGTTATTGTACATACATTACCTTTGAATATATCGAACATTATTCTGCCGTAATTAGTACCTATTATAACGTATTTTGTATGCAATTACGCGATACAATCTAAATAACGTACGCGGGGTGGTACAACTTCGTCCTATCCGTTCTAAACCCTCTCACTCATACGTTTACTTTTTAAAAAATAGAGAAAACAAAAACTAAAGACAGTTCAAGCAGGAGAATAAACGCCCTCTCGAAAGGAATTATTAAAATTCGTCCGCCGGCGCCTGCTTAAAGGAACATCGAACATGTTTATCGTTAAACATTATAATTAGTAATCGTAGTTAGCAAATATGAGGAAAATTTTGGAATCGCAAAAATCTACGAATCAAAAATAAATTACATATCCGTCATGCAAATATCTTTTTTCTTTTTATGAATATCCCTTTCGATGCATCGATATTATTATTATTATAATTATAATTATAATTATATTATTATTATTAATTCAACTTTTCTCTTATTCGTTCTCCGATCCATCCTACAAAATTCTTGTTTCCGTTCTTTCGCTTGCTTTCTTAGCCAGCTATCTTTTGCCTGATGACTAGAACATCGTTTCGTGGGTCGTTTGGTAAAAAAATAAGATAAAAAAACGACAGAAAGTATTCATAGAAAAAATAAACTAGTACCGGGAACGGCTATGTTCGCGTTATCTATACGAAGCTCTCATTCGCGGAGTTATATACGTCTGCGATATCTTGCACTAAAAAAAAGATGAACGAACATAGTCGCTTCCAGTAGTTTCTTTTTTTTTCCATTGGATACAGTAGTGTGAAGCCCTTCCTTCGGGCGGAGCCATTGGTCTCGATGGGATGGGTTTGCGTGGATGGTTTTTCTAGCATTCGCACTTAAATTTTTTCTCTCTCTCTCTCTCTCTCTCTCTCTCTCTCTCTCTCTCTCTCTCTCTCTCTCTCTCTTTCTTTCACACACTTTCTATGGCAGACTCTCCATTTCTCATTCTCACAATTCCTCATCTAAAATCTAAACTTGAAAACGACGTTCGATGATTTATTTCGCTTAGCGCTCGGGAGACGTGGATTTTTATTGAGTATCTCTAAATGAATCACGAGGACGATGAGTATTATTAAAAACCTTCGGAGTCGCTTTCCGATTGGTCAGGACGATCGTCCGAGTGCAAGGATCAGTTTGCCGGCTCGGCGCTATGAGCTTGCTTCTCGATCTTTCTGGCTAGCTCGGGACTCATGTGCGGATGGGGAAATGGCAAGACAGGCTTCCGGAGAATGGTCGGTTTGACTTTCACTTGAGGTTTGAAGCTGGATACCTGACTGCCACCCGTTAAATGCATATCCGCAAATTTCGCGGCTATTTTTGGCGTTGAACGAGGCGGCAGTGGTGACCTCAGAGGCATCGAGTCAGATATCTGATTAGAACTTGCCGATCTCACTAACTCCTCGGATTCCATATCGGGCTCGACCTCAGCCTCCATGCGTTTTAATTTTCCACCCTCCAAGTTTGACTTTGTATTCTTCTTGAGGGTACATTGATTTTGCTTGGCAAATCTCTCGGCTGCTGTACTCATGTCTGGAGATTCCGGTCCACCCGTCGGGGATGTTGCTGCTTCAGCTCTTGAAGGTGGAACTGTTGGAGTCTCTTCGTCGGAACTGCTTAAGCTACTGGAGGAGGTGGATTTCTTACCGGCATCCTGAGCACTCAATGGCAAGTCCATAACAAGATCCGGTGTATGCTTCTGTCGCATTTCTCGAAATTCTTGGGACGATCTGAAAGACTTCGGTGTTGGTGGGATCGGTGGGGTCAGGTGAGTCTGTGAAGTCGCACGTCTCTGCCAGAGTTCTCTGTTCGCCGAGAAAGTTGTCTGCTCCTGTAGATCATCGTCCTGCGTGGACGGTGCGTTCAACTGGAGGGAATTCGTAAGTTGCTGACCAGCTTCGCTCATGCTTTGAGATTTCCAGTGCTGCTGCTTCCGGCCAGCACCTCGCTTCGCTGAGCCATCTAACGAGAGTGACGACAATCGTCCATTTTCATCGGACATTTCCTCATCCCGTGGTAGCTGCTGCTGCGCTTGCTGGGAAGCTGCAATTGGATCCAGGAAGACAGTTATGTTGTTCTCTACCTCAGTGCCATTTTCCAGATCCTGCGAGACTTCCGGCGCTTCTGTGGATTCCTCCTTCTCAGGACTGGGCGCCCTCGCGTTCCTCGAGGGTGTGCTCACCGGCTCCTGTAAGGAGGAAACAAATACAGTAATAAACATATATTTTTTCAGACATTTGCTCATTCAACTGGAGGAATTATTATATCTTGTGACCGTACTGCTTCCTTCGAAACTTCTACTTACATTTTGGACAGTCTGACACATGACATTTACCTTCTCTTCCTACACTTTACCCAAGTGCAGACATACATAGCTGTTCCGTTAACGGTAGCGATCAGACCGTCCAAACTTTAGTGAGGATCATATATAGCGTCGCGACTACAGATAAAGAATTGTGAAAAAGTCGAATATTGCAAGGAGAATAGTATTGCAGTATACAATTTTTTAATTTCCCAGATAATGAAATACCCATCAATTATAAAGACCCAGTACCGTGTCATGCTGGTACCATTTAACACCAAGAATTCATGCATAGACGTAAAATGGTTCTCGACCTTACGCAATACGCAATAGTAGCAGAGTGTGGATTAAAAACTGCTCGTAAAACGGATAACAGTGAATACTATAGACAGCTGTATGAATGAAGAATAATAAGAGAAACTGTACAAGGTACACGTGTCATGTGAGTATTACGTAGGATGTGAGTAATGAGTAAGGATATAATTTGTTCTCCAGTATAAGTAGCAATATTTAAACTAAAAAGCGGAAGATGGAGGTGCGGTGTTGAGTTTACTCACCTAAGCCCAAAGAGTTTCCGTTGCCTAAGAAGGTCCCGCGATCGGCATTCCCTTTGGTATCGTCTACAGATTGAGATTGTTCTACGGGACTCTAGGATTCACAAACCAACCGAACTGTCAAATCGACACTCCTTCAATTGAAATAAACAACAGCAGCAGCAACAACCAAGGAGTAGAATAAAACAAAATAATAATAATAAAACACGCACGCACAACATAGGACAGAACGTACACAACACCAGCGGCAATTTTATCGAACAGTTTTTAGTCCGTCGAACGTTGTTTACCCTACGTACGCACGCAACACACGTATTTCGCATCAGCTTTAAGATGCTGACCTATACGTATATCTGTAAAAACAACAGCAACAACCAACCCAACCATTAACATTGAGAATTTTTTAAGTGAGCCGAGTACGAGGCAAAAACACGTAGGACGTAGTAGTAGAATAATAAAAAAAAAAGAGGCGGCACAAGACAAGACGTAGGCAGACATGCAGCAAAAGAACGTGTATATTTATATTTTATTTACAAAAGGTATCGTACAAAAAAAAAGAAATTCACCACTAATAACTAGTCGCCGAGTTCTAAGTAGAGCTTAACGTACCAGTCACGCTAATCCGACATCCTTCCGTTCGATAGGTGCCTTCGTTAACCTTCGTCCGCTTTCCGTCGTAATTCGCGCAAGAGGAAGTGCTCGCGTGCGTGGAAAGAAAAAGACGGTGCTCTGGCAAGGCAGCAAGTGCAGCGTATGTCGATGGGGCTAATTTTCTTTATTCGCGATCGTTAAAGGTTAATTTTGCTTTTATTATATGTCTCGTGAGTCTGTCAGGCATGTAAAAAGGGTGGAAATCGTATTGCGACCATGACGGCGTATTTAAGAGGGAAAAGAACGTAAGTGGAAAAATAAAAATAACAAAGGAGAATATAAACCGTGAACTTCAAAGTTCACTGGATGTTCACCTAGTTTCTCTAGCGTTGACCTAATCAGGCGTACCTTAATCCGCGTACAACCTTTGATCAGGAAATTCAGTCTTTTGTGAATACAGTCATATTAACACATTAAAGGCGGGAGTCGTAGTACTAGGATTTATCTCGACTGTAGCTTAAAGGCGGGAGTCGTATTAGTACCTAGCATACTTTCGTCAAGATCCCCCGCCTTTAATGTGTTAAGATACGCATCGTCCTGAAGAAGGTGCGCTTTACCTTGGCTGATGGCAACGAATTTTGCCCTTGCAGTCAAAGAAAGCTGTGCGTGATGTGCGGGTGCAGTGCTGGCGATATAGGCTTTGTGTTTTTATAAAAACTACACACAACAATGCATTCCTGTGTCGTTACGTTTTGCAATTAAAAAAAAAGACAAAGATAAAACGTATGAAATAAAAACAGACAAAGACACAACGAAGAAAAAATATTGTAGCGTGACAGCCATGCACCTTGGTTCAAGTGTACGAATGACGTTCGGCACAGTCGTACAAGGATACGAAAGCACACGAGTACAAGAGTGACGTAATAAAAGTCAAATTAATTAAATGCTAAACGGTGGTTTCTAGTACCTCTCGGCTGATGATCGGTTGGGATGATGACACACAGGCCACGCTCGTCACTACCGTTGGAATAATTGCACTGCTATTCCCACTTTCTGTCTGCAATAGTACGGTACTTGATGTGGAAGTTTCGGTCGCTGCTGTCGATGGCCATGTGTTAGGATTACCAGCTGGTCCCATCAATGGTGAATTGTTACTCGACAAAACACTGTCTGCCGAGCTGGAGGCTCTTCTGCGCATTGACTCTTCGCTCGACGATTTTAATAGCTCCTTATCGCGCTCTTCGTCCCTGGAGCAAATTTTTAAGAGGATTCATAACGAGGAAGAGAGCAGACATTTTTTGGAGGAATTAAAATATCTTTAGTCAAGACTTACTATAAATGTAATTAATACATACTTTATCTTGAGCATGATGTATTTATCAGGAATCAGTCCCTCTCTACCTGCTAGAGCACCTCTCCACCAGTCGTTGCTTACTTGCGTATAGAGGGTCAGGGTGTCTCCTTTCTTGAAGCTAAGTTCCCTTTCTGATCGTGCGTTAAAGTCAAATTGTGCGGTAGCTTCCAAGTTTTCGGATTCTATTACGAATAGATGTGAATGATCATTTTACTTGTGATTGATTAGTATGACGTTATTTAGTTTTATATATATATATATATATATATATATTCAATATTTACCATCCTCAGATGGATATACTTCAGAATCCATATCTTCTTGGACTTGATCCGTCGGTGAGTCGCCGACGTCTCTGAAATGAAGAATTTAAAAATAATTAATCAATATAAGAATGTGGTATTGAAAAGTAGGTAAATATAGGTATACTTACACGTCATCAGGTTCCCTACTGATATACTTCTCATATTGAATCCCTCCAATATCCTCAGGAAAAATTTCTTCGCAGAAGGTAATGATATTTTTAATCAATTCGTTGACTTGATTCTGATATTGGACCTGATCCTTATCTTCTGGGACGGGAACTAACGTTGGGCCGAAGCATATAGCAAGATTGTAAGGATCCATCATATTCTCATCCGAAAATTCTGATAAGCTAACGTACAAAAGTAACTTTTAATATGATTGAATAATAAATATCAATATTAATTTCTAAAATATCTCAACACGATACTTACTGATTAAGGAAAGCAAAGAGGTATCGCATCACAATGACCACTGGTCGCGGAAGACTGGATATCAACTCTTTCATTTTCAGTACAAAATCCTGTTTCGATTCCAACTGAGCCAATTCCATAAGGTGTTCGAAGTAGATAATAGGAAACAGTGGTTCTCGCAATTCCCTGAGGTATAACTTCAGTACCCCGGCAACACTATTGATATCAGAAGCGTCTGTCACGTCCGCAAGAGGATCTTCTCCCCTTTCAAACCACTCTCTAAAATTGTTGATCTCAACCTGAGATCCCGAGACTCGGAATATCCCTTGATGATGCAATCCAAACAAGTTTATCACTCTTACGCAACTCTTCACAATGAGTGGTATCTCTTGATTAGTACTCTCAAGGTACTCCTCAAGTGAACCACCAAATAATTTAGGCTGGCCATTCATTTGCAAGCGACCAATACGCTTTCGGCGTGCTTGTTTCTGTTTGTTCGTCGAAATCGATGGATTTGGACTAGCGCTAGAACCGTCTAATAAACTTTGGCGAATATATTCTTGTTTTGCATCCAGTCTGGCTATTCTCGAAGTCCCAAGGAGGTATTCTCTAAATTTCTACACGAACAAGAGTGTAAGTTGATTTTTAGTAACTCTAAAGTCAAATTAAGATACACTTGGTGACTAGACTCACCGTGAGGTAGAACTCTTCGGTTTCCTGTCTATCGGCTCTCAGCTTAATCTGTATTGTCTCCGGAGGTCTCGAAGTCGGCATGGCATTGTCACCAAAGTACCTGGAGCAATCGTAATCCTTAGCTGTAAGCATCTCGAGTAAACTGGCCTCTGCAGTCTCTAGAGTCTTCCAAACTTCTTCAGACTCTGTCCTGAGAGACGTGACCCTTTGCTGAAGTTGCGCGAGCCGCTGTTCCATCTCGGTATGTAGCACCTTTTGCAATTCCGGATCTGGTGTCTGAAATATTGAAAATTTTTCTTGAAAACAAGCTGAATCCTTTTGCGACTATGAATCGACTCCTGCAATACTGACTTCGTACGCTACCTCATCTCCACGCTGACCCTGGAACTCAAACTTTTTGGGAATCATGAAAGCAGCATGATGGGACTCGAGGAATCTCTGCTTGTCAGCTCTCGAATCAAGTGCACCGACACAAGCAGCCAACTGCTCGGCCCCGGATTGCAATGAACGCTGTCTTCCTTCCTCAGCGCTGCAGTGCATCAGGAGTGCCCTGGCGATGCAGTTATGGAAGCCAAAATCCATGCACTGCAGGAAATCACGATGTCGTAAATGTTATTTGTATTGCTTCCCCGTAATTCCGGTTCGTGGTACCGGAACCGTAAAACTCTATTTACAGCGCCAAGCTTCCTCAAGAGATGAACTTACATCAATGAGATCAGACAGATCGTCGACGAAGTACTTGTGTATCGTGGTGTTCGATGCCTCCAGACAAAGGATGTACTCGTTCCTGGCCTTTAGAGCCTTAAGCTTTGCCTCGGTGTACTTGCTCTTCCTCTGAAACGATTGGACAGAACTTTCAGCCATAAGCGAGCCATTAATTTCATTAATTGGCCGTAGCTGCCAGCGCATTAATCGACCCTGCCAATTCCCAAGATCTCTCCCTCGCTTTTTTCCACAGCAAGTAAACGCGGCCTATTACTGACAGCCACAATGTCCCAGGCTTATTGCGCTTCACATCGGGTTTTACGCTCACGGAAACGCCAAGAGATCCCAGAGATTAATTATCATCCCGAGGCATATATAGCTTCGTGTTGAGAATACATCGTCTTCCTATATCCAACTAGAATCTGTCGAGTTTCCATTGCGCATCGACTTGCTGCTGCTGCTGCTGTTACTTCTTATAACGGATCACGGCGAACCGCGGCCGTGTAATATCCAGCGCACTGGGAGATGGTTGCACGTGTTGTTAATCTTTTTCGTACCGTTAGAACCATCTGTTTTGCCGTTCAGTCGGGGGCAACATTAGTTTATTTTTCTAGCAGAGGCTCGCACCGCAAAAAAAAAGGGAAACGTTCGGTTACTTTTAAATCTTGGAAGACGTCCGTTCAGTGCTTTGGTTAAAGATTTTAAAGAAAACGAGAATGAAATTGAAAATCATTACTGACTATTGAAATGCGCAATTCGATTGGATACGCTACTACGGCAATTGCATAGGAATCAGTTAGCTAGACTGAATCGAGAATTTGCTGAAGTCTATTGTCCCTTGTCAAAAAAAAAAAAAAATATGAGTGGAACAATTGGCAGGCCGATGACGCAAATACCTAATTCGGACATCCTGCGAGTGGCCCGAATATCGCCTACGTTGATAGATTGCACTTCGTGACCTCTCTCGACGGCGCATTTTAATTTACTTTACTAGCAGACGCATGTTTTTACATTTATAGATAGAGTATCGCCCACCGGTGAAACTAGAAAAATAGCTATTCGATCCTGAGTTACGACACGGTCAGAATTTTTTAACGAGAGAGACGATAAATTCATTCCAATTTAAATAAGCAGCCAGTCATAATAAGTGTCAGACACTGAGTGAGATTTCTCTGCCACGCCATTTTTGATTCGTACTCCAGGTGTGAGCATCCGGTGGAACGATTATGCTTACTGGGACGTTGTTTCAGTTTGTCTCGATTGCCTGAACAATTTACTCCAGGCTCGAGTGATTGCGACGCGTCCGTTGTTTTGATAAGCACGATTGACTATCATTTGTTTATCGACGATAACAAGCCTCCTCTTATCAGTAAGATTTTGGATATACAACATCCACGCAGTCTGTGCCATATAAGTCACATGAAAAGAGAAACCTGAGACTCCCTGAGTGCGTCCGACGTATAATTTAAAAACTGAATTTTTAATAAAAGAATAAAAATGATCAGGCCACGTCACGTTAATTTATCATAGAACACGTATATCTTGTTAAAAGACAAACAAGCAAGCAATAAACTCCCCTGAGTACATCTTAAATCATTTAAAACTCATATCTCCCACAGGGTCTCTAAAGTGATACGTAATTCACAGTCCCCAAGACAAATCGACTCTCATAGTCTGTACCAATTTATTTCCATCAGATGATGCACTTCAACGAGTCGAATAGATTGCCTCCCATGAACTTGATTATCGTTCCCACTATCTCTACGAACCTTGTTCACTTCCTTCTCGATTAGCCGATATTTCTTGCTGCGCGCCAGTTTCTCAGGCGGCGCGTTGGCGACTTCAAGTTTACTTCGTTGTTGCTCAGCGACACGCAGCTTCGTCTCGGCCTGTCGCGATTCCGCCTGGTAAGCCTGATAGGTCTTCATCGTGGTATGAAGCTCATGAAGTACGCGTAGAATTTCCTCATGGGTTTCATAGCCAATCTCACGGCACTAGAAGCAATAAAGATCCTCTGCCGATTTATACGTCTCGTTCATTCGTGGACGATTATCTATATGTCACTCGTCCTTTCCTCGACTCCACTTACACGTCTGTAAATGCGCTGAACATCCTCCATCACTTGATTCAGCCTTCCCACGAGGTGCGTACTGTACACGTCGGAAAGAGCCGCGTGATCTCGACTAAGGGACTTTGTCTCATTGACGAGCTGCTGCCAGCAGGCGTAGCTGGAGAAGAGAGGCCACTGCTCGCGTCTGGAAACGAAAGATCACAGGAATATAAAATCATAGGAAAGTATAAAAAGACGTATAATTTAAATTCAAGATCAACACTGAGATGCCTTAATAAAAATTTAACGTAAAGACAGACTCTTGCCAAGGAATGCCAACGGGAACTCCGGCAACTCACGGACAGGCCCAGGACTTACACATCCGCTTCCGGAAGTTTAACAGGCTCTTAAGAAAAATCCATATTGATTCCGACAAGCACTCTAAATCCAGCCTATGTATTTTTCCTGTATTTCTTTTTAAACGCTAAGTCGGCTCACGTTATGGATCCAGCGGATTCGTTTTTACCCCCAGGACGATTGCGATGTCAAATTCCACAAGCGATTCCTGTTATTTTTTTAAGATACTTAATAATCCATCGACGATCCGTGAAAGCTATTTATTTTTTTTCCAGTATAGATTACACGGTAAAACCAACAATTTAGCCAGATTGCTTTTTTTCTACCGAGTGCCATACTTCACGCGTTAAACTATTCTACGATAAAGTGATTACGGTACTTTTGCTTTTGCTCCTTGTGCCTCAGCTGGATACTCCTCGCCATCTTGTCCAAGTTTTTGCTGTAATCGAGTTCTAGTTCGGCTCTCCTTCGAAAGAAATCCTGAAGTTCGGCCACTAGGGCGACTTGCGCCTCCATCCTTACGTCGAGACATCTCAGCTGTTCGTTGAGCTGCAGTCTTATATCTGTGAACAATAATTTTGTTTTTCATTGCATCTCAAAGCTACCCAAAGTACCCGTGCAATATAACGCTTGAAATAGTAATCTTGCTATCCTACACTCATTCTCAACCGGCCGTGATATATGCACAAAGGAGTGTATAGCCATAAGCATTGCGCAAAGTTCAACGGCTGACCTCGAGCGAAAGGTGTAGATAATTGAATACTCGTAAGAAGTCTCGCGGAGAAACGGAATACTTTATGCGTTTCTGTGCAAGACTAATTCTCCGTGTTATCGGTAACGTAATGCCATAGCGTTGCATAAGTGTAATTTACAGTGTTATTCGCTCTTTATGACACTCGTCGTATCTACCAAGTGGACTGTATTCTGATAGTAATTTCCTGCAAACTCCATGGTTGCCACGTTACTTCCGTTGTGCATTATAAAAATTCGCATAAGTGATATCCAGAGTCACGAAGGGAAATTGCAGTGACTTTACATGCGATAAGAAAAATAGAAAGAGGAACGGATCTCTATGCGTGTCTTAATCGTCCATTGCAGCTGGTGCCTGTAAACGTTACTTTGTGACGTTTGAGGTTATGTTCCGTTAACGATTTTTGACAAAATCTCAAGAGGCGTCACCGGGACGATTAACGAACTTGAGAATTGGCAACAATAACGACACAGACTGTCTCTCCGGTTATGAGTAGATATTTTCACAGCGCTATTTTCTGCCACACGCTCGCGGCTCCGTTTATTCTTGGACGGCCAAGACAATGGAGGATGAAGTAGAAGATTTGCCAGTGGAATAACAATGCACGAGAGCGGACGCCGTAGCGTCAATTTTTCGTTTCTCTTTTTTAATATTTCCCCCCCCCCCCCTTTTTTCT